CTCGCGTGTTATTCGGTCAGCTACGCTATTCCCGTTGAATGTGTAGGACCGCCGCCCGACAATCCAGTCGCCGACATGGATAACACCGGTCACAACTAACGCGAGGCTTGCAAGCAACTCTGCGAGTCAGAGATAGAGATGGTCGAATTTTCTATTCTTGCAGTCTGCAGTTTCAAACCAATAAGGTTTTACGAGTCCCCCTCTATTTGATTACCTAGGTTAGTCGTCTATTGCGACGAGTCACCTTCAGCTTACCTGCAGACAAAACGGGATCGAAAGGACTTTGCACTTTGGATCGCGAGTCGCGGGTCACATTCTCTCGACCGTGAGCTCATAAGGTTTAAAAAAGAGGCTCGGTGAAACAAGATCCATACCTGCATACCTGCATACCTGCATCCCATGGGTTACTGTAAAACCTCTCAATGGCTGATCGCGGTAGATATATCGTATTCATCTGGAACAAGTACCTTGCAACGCCTAATAACACGGGATCCTTCTTTGAGGAAGGCCAAAACAAATGCGCTACGATTCCTTGGGAACTCGGAACCGATCTTAGCCTACCTTTGTCACTTTGTGAAATGGGCAATGAGTAGCAGGATCGTGTAAAAGCCAGTTGCCAGTTGGACATCCGTCTCCACAACACCTTGGTGCAGCCAACTCTTTCCTACTTGACGATCATGGCGCGCCCATCAAATAGTCAGGGTTTCGGTAGGGATACATGCCTCTTATTTGAGCGTGGTTACGTTGCCAACTGAGCGGTCCAACTACCTTGAAGTAAGCCCGGAGGCGATCTGTGCACTCGAAATGCGGACTCGTTTCCTCGTGCCGCCTGGTGACTTGGTGACTACAACATTAACTATCTACCTAACCTGCTAACCTAGGTACCTAACCTATCTAACCATAGGTACATACTCGTCAGCTGTGGGTTTGACCGGGGGGCAGCGCCAACCCAGTCCTCATAAATCTTTGTTTAAAAAAAGTGTGGCGCTGCAGTCAAGAGGGGGGCCAAAGGGCCAAAGAGGCGCTCACGATTCAAGATTGCGCAGTATGCATGTCCATCTAAAGGTCTTAAACTCCACCATCGTCATCATCACGATTCAATTAGGCGGCCGGCGCGAAGTGCTTAAAGCACCCATCCTACCCGTCCCACCACATACATACCAGACATGTATGTACTCACAGATCCCGTGCCACGCCCGCCATGTAGGTCAAATGATTCAATATTATTAGCCACGGCTCCTTTGCGTAGCAATGAATGCATAACGGCTCTAGCGGGGTCCTGTCGGAGATGCCATTGCGTACGAGAAGCCAGCCAGAAGCCAGGAAGCTTATGCGCAAAGTGTAAATATGTACAAACGATCAGCCACGAATACACGCATACGATGCCTACTTAGGTTAGATCCTACACATGGAAGGGATAAGATGGGGATTTTAGGTGATAGGGATGTTGTAGAAACGGCACCTAGGGAATTCTCTGGAAGATTTCCATTTCTTTTTACAGTAAAGCCGTATCCACGCCCTGCCAGCCTAGAACTGGGATGACCACTTCTTGATTTAGATCTCACAAGGTTATCAATCGATCCCTGCTGTAACTTGTCCGTCTCGCTGTGGGGGTTGGACGGTCAAGGTGCCGCAGAGATCGTCCATAATTACTATGTATGTTTGTACGTACAGACCTTCGTAAGGAGTCACATCCTTTACGAGAGCGTCTGTAAGTATATTATTTAAAAGGATCCTTACTGATTACAGCGTATGCAAGGAGCTTGAGGGCTTAGCCAAGGTCCCTATCCTAGGCGCTCGGTCTAGTTTGACTTCCTTTCCTGTTCCAATTTCAGCCTGCGTTCAGGAATCTATACATACTATGTATTGGTTAATTAGGCGCATTAACGAAGTCTTGGATTCCAGATGTGCAGTGTACCTCCGCCATATACTGTTTCGGCGTGCATCCGGCGAGTGGATTCAAGGATATCGCCTTCATGTCCACCGTAAATGGATCCATCCATGCCACTTGGTAGGCCGTTAGTTGAAGATAAATTTTCGCATTTGACCAACCTAGACCGACCTGATACTCGCCAAAAAGGAGGCTGACGATCCCTCGTAGGTGAGGTCAGTCGATAGCTCAGTGGTAGTCGTCAACACCAATAGTAATATCGGTAGCGTCAGACTTCGGTTTCGCAATACACCTACAGTACACTACTAACCTTCTCCCCCGAACCCTGTTCCTCCGAGCCACGACTGAGCCTCGGAATAAGAATTCATTAGTACCGCCAAGCAAACCTATTTGAGGGCATATTCCGCTGGACAACAACTGGGCTACCGTTCAGTGACATACTCATGCATGGCGTTGAGCACTCTGCGTATCAGACCCGAATAAGACACGATTGGCCGTAATCACAGGGCCAGCTGGACTTTTCATCTGTTATGCTCATATTGTCTTACGCTCACTTATTAGGAGACCGTCGCTCCGGAAAGGATCAGGGTCGAACTCCGGTTGGTGGTTTACTATGGGGGACGGACTTGTTTCCAAGACTAGCAATCGATAATAACATCCAAAGTCTGTGTCTCTAATATATAGACTCGGCGCCGTCAGCATGGGCGATGTAGGGGTAATCTAAGGTAGGTAATCTTCGCGCAAACCAATATCGAAGTCTATGTGGATGGGAGAGGAGTGCCATCGTACATATGGATTACCTCCTTGCCGTATATATCCGGATACATAACCATGGCCATGACTATGACCATGACCATGACCATGACCTCTACATATCACACCTCTCAAAATAGATGGGTAAACGAGGTCTCGAGAAAAGCCAATGCTGTTTCGGAAAGGTCCATCATGCACGTCCACGGTATTGTGCTCAAAGCGATGGCAAAAGCGCTAAGAATTTTCCAACCGCCTGACCGCAACAAAAACGAGAGAGAAAAAATTAGTATCGCGGGGAAATTTGTCGATAGTAACCGAAATGGCCGAGCTTTTTGCGCACCTTGTTGTCGGAAGTGTTCCTTCAAGGGCGATCGAATATGATTTCAGCGGTACATCATCTAGCACGTAGCATCACTTACCATTCGACTTTTGACTTTCGATATTTCGACATACTACATAGCTATACATATATAAATTTGTACATGATTACACGGAAGCTAGCGAATCATCTATAACCCCCAACGCTCGTACAAAGCAAATACATAGAGAGATGGTTGCGTCATGACTACCTCTGTCTCCCGCAAAAGCCAGCCAATAACCCAATCTTCGTAGCGGCCGCATATCCTCCGGAACAATACATCTTTCTCGACCACATACTTAATGCACACACCTAACGAGGGTTCGAGCTAGAGGGGTAGGTAACCCAACCCATCCACCATCAAAAAGCTCGATTTGAGGGGCGTCGGTTTTTTAAGTGAGGCAGATTTCGATAAAGGGGGATTTTCGGTAACGGTACCAAGCACGATAAGCTGCAAAGAAAGGTATTGATGCGGCTTTTCAACATCCGCAGCGACAGGTACGTAGGTAGGTATGTAATATGTGATTCCAGAATAGCCACGCACTGCCGGACATGGATATCGGAAGCGATTTAGGGGTTTATAAAATAAAGAAGTAATACATAAGTTAATAAATAAATAAGAAAGAGGAGCTGTCGTGGACTAGTGGCCCGTGGGCCGAATACATACAAGGTACTATGTGTTAGGCGGTTTTGTTCGGTGTCAACTCTGAGACATCCAATCCTACACTACGTTCAGAAGTTTCTCGATACGACTCGCTCGTCGTGTCATCATATCCCCCCTCCTATTTTAGTGATTTAGTGGGCACGTCCCGGCGGTCCAGACTTACGGAGCACAGGAGAGCGGCTCCGGTATCCACAAGGACTTGCATGGGAGCCGAAGGTGGGATGCGATGCGACAGATAATACATAGCACTTGGATAGGCAAGCAAGCAAGCAACCTTGGACTTACATACACTATGTAGACACAAACACGTATTATGGACATCATATCGATAAAATGCGGAAATAGTTGCATATGAGGTATGTACAATACAAAGTACTGGACATATTTACTGGGCATAGTTAATATACATAGGCAACCTAGGTAATATATAGGTAGGTAGCAAAGAGCTTCCCTTATGTACAACCAATAACGTTACTATGTGTTACTTACGGACTATTACCCGTGAGGTTCCCCCTTATTTACATACCACTTACACCACTCACCACTTACACAGTAACATCCATACATACATACATACATAGCACTAAAATACCTGAATACCTACATACATACCTACTACGAATTACCCATTCCGGGCAAATCCATTCCCATCTCACACACCAACTGTTGATCCACAGTTTCACCGCTCCTTGTACATAGGTACCTACCCTTATTATGTACCATAGTTGCATAACTACCCTATTTCTTACCCTATTAATACTTAATACTAACTAGCATTTAATTCGAGGACCCTTTCTTTGCAGAACGATCATCCAAGTCTCGGCCGGTCCTTTTTTTCACCTTCCCCTTCTCCACGCCCGGCAACAAGACACACATCGGCCGTTTCTACATATGTAGGTATGTACAATTATTACCCATACCATACATACCAGCCATACAATCATGCCAATCATGCCAATCATACCAATCATACTAAATACCATAATACCACCGCTCTACCCAATCCAAGGGATGGGATCCCCTCTGTCCCCTCTCCCCCGGGATATGTACGTTCGTTACGAAGTCACCGATCCATGCAGGCCCTTTAATGGACGGTTTCCTGCTTTACGTCCGAACTTATGCGAACTAAACAACCTGAATGTTTCTAAATATCACTATCGTGTGTTTGGCAGCCAGTTCCAGCTCCTGTCCCGGCCCCTGTCCCATCCGTCCCAGTCACAGCTCCCAGCCAGAATAGGCGCCCCGAGTTTTAATTGATGATGAAGATGATGAGTACCTATCACTATTATTATTATATCCCGTCACACGACCACGGGGCTACATACTCGCTAGTCACATCTCATATGTAATCGATCGTCCAGTTTCATTGTGACGACGCCACTTCCTGGCGCTCCAACCCTAAGGATCCAAGGCCGCCGAACCCGTCTCGTTGCACCTTGCGCGTAGCCAGCTGCACAGCAAACTGGACTTTCTTCTCGGTGTCCCAGTCCTCGTGGTGGCACAGCAGCCCGAACAACATACCGGCAATGAAGGTGTCACCTGCTCCTACGGTGCTAACGCAGGGATATTGTTAGTCTACAATCTTGCTCTGTCTCTCTCTTCCAAAAGTTGCTCTCTTTAGGATGACGCCTCGAAGCCCCGGCTGTGGGCTTGTCTTCGGCGGTCTGACATACTCCACTACGGAAATGGTTTGCCCAGGCAAGATAGCCGGGCAAGACACGGCCTTCTCACTAGAAAGTGATAGACACGATGCACCGTCCGATCCCCACGTACAGCAGAGGAGACTCCTGCAATCATTATTATCATCTCAGCGCACCGTTGTGCTTGCACCGTTATTTTGGTTTAGTGACTAGGACCAATGCAACTCACGCTTTGCGGCCCACGCCCGATTGGGCACTCAGGCATTGCTGAGCACTACCGTACCGCTTACTCTATGAGATCGGGTTGATGTTAACTCGACTCGACTCGACTCGACTTAAACTCAACCCTACATCATTTTATACCCACCGTCTTCGCACGAGGAGGAGGAGGAGGAGGAGGGGTGACTCACTTCAGCCCAGGTCCGCGAATAGAACACAACGTCCGCTTCAGCCGCTAGGTCTTCTAATCCCTCTCGGCCCGGTTTTTCGACTTCGACGCTTACTCTTGTATTGGAGAACGACCGCCTTAGATGCCGGATGCACTGCAACGTAATTTCAGGTATTCGTCCCTATGCATGCCTTTGGTGTGAGTTACAGATCAGAAGCATTTCCCCCAGTTTTTGCAAGCCTGCAAGCCTGCAAGCCTGCCTATCCATGTGGTTAGGCGCACCTCGAAGTGGAACCAGGCATCGTCGCCGAGCTCGTCGGCAGCGGCGACAAACTCGCCGATCGTCATCTCAGGTAAGTCGTTGTAGTTGACGAGGGTGCGGCTCCCGGTGGCTTCGCTACGTATGATGTAGCTGCTAGCCGGTTGCCGTTGATCTTCGCGGAATATGCACCTCGTGAAATCAACAAGGCTTTCCGGCCCAAAGGAGTCCACTATGGTTGCCGTCGCAGGTGCGTCGGCACTGGGCAAGCATGATATCAGGTAAGGTTTGATGTCTCGACCGCCATCATTCCGTTCCTTTAGGAGCTGCTGAAGCACTTCAAGCGTATTTGGACAATTGCCACCACGACGGACTTGTAGATTGGTGGCACGTAATTTGGAATCCTCGCCCGGGTATTGAGGTACGCTACAACGTAGGTGAGATTGATCTGAGTCAGGCCATGCTTATTATTATGCAACAGGGGGGTAAAACTCACTCGAGGATAGTATCGACATAACATGCCCCAACGCAAACGAGCTTCTGGTTCTTCATAGTGTATTTGTCGATGCTGTGCCACGTTGATCCGGGACGCAAGTCGACACATCCAGGTTTCGATTAAGAGGTATCAATCTAAAATGGACTCTACCGGTTTACATTAATATTTATATTAATGCCGTCACTAGTATGTACTTGGGGAATTCCCGTTTACTCTTCTGCAGGTGGATAATACATAGATAATACATAGTTTATGAGCCACAAAGCACAAAGCAAAAAGGGGGGAAAGGTGGCGTTAGTATTCCCCTTTTCCCCCCATCTCCACCACCATCTGATATGTAGTACTTACCTACACTACTGCAGTGAAACCAATGACGAAACCACCCTTTATTCGCTAAGTCCAAGTCTAAGTCACATCATACAATACCTACCTAAGATGGATGCAATTAATCCCTCGGGGTATCGTTTGGCCGATACTTAACCATTCACATACCTATCCTATTACCTATCCTATCGTACAACTTGGATCGATCCCTTCCATCGCACCCCCCAAAGTGCCACCAATATTCTCCTCGTCGCTTGCAGGACAAATATCGAATGCAACCTGACTCCCGTCTTTTGTCTTGCGTCTCCCGGCGCACTCGAACCTGCGAACTGCGACCCAAACAGCCGGCGGGCGTATATACGTTAGGTACATACATGCATAACCTACGACTCTCCAGACTTGTAGCTTAGCTCTAGGTGCCGAGTGCCGTCTATCTACTACTGCTGTTGCATATCACAGAGAAAGCCCTCGTCACATCGTCGTCAGCGAGCGCGCGCGAAAACGAGACGGGCCGAGATATTGCTTTCGCGGCTTTGTCCCCAACCTGGCCACCATGTGAAACACCAGAAGGATTCTAGTCCCAGGACGGAGACGCGCAGGCGAGACGGCTGTGTTGCGCGCGAGGGCGAAGGCGCAGACGGAAAGTAAGGGCTCGATTGCAGAACGCGGTTTATGGCCGACGTACCTCCGTACATACATAGCCGAGCCGAGGCTTTGGCTCGATTATCGCAGCCGTTTGCTTTTCGATCCAATCTGATCTGGTCTGATGCGCGTGCAGATTGGAGATGACGGGGTTCGGGTAGAGTCGATGGGATCGCAGTATTTAAAGCGGCAGCCGTCGAATACGCCGGTCTCCCCAGGTCCCAATCGCTCGTGGATTTACATGCCGTGTAGCGCTCCAGTGGCTTTTTTTTTTCTCGTGTAAGTCCCATTGCCTTGTTGCATTTGTTCATATATCCATCCATCCATCCATCTAGACGAGCTGTTGGCAAGTTCCGAGGATTATCCGCTCTGGTAGTAAATGCGTGCACGCGATTGTCAAGTCCTCAAGCAAACTCGACGGTTGCAGTAGTGCTTTAGTAACCTGTAAGTGAATTATCATAAGAGCAGATCCGTTTGTTTAAGAGATTTTGTGGGAATACTAGTGCTTGCTTGTTTCTTGTAGTCGGTTTGTTTAAAAATGGAATATGTCTAGGTACTTGAGACTTCGCTAGGTTGAATGTTTATAGAGAAGCCTCACCTAATGACGTTAACTGCCGTTTATCTAACTTTATCTTACTCCTTGTTCTTACCTAGGCATGAATGGTCGCAACTTATGGTCGCAACTTCCAGTATTAAAGAGTGTCATTGTCATGTGCTACCAACTGAACTGGTACAACTACTGAATACAACTACTAAATACAACTACTAAATCATCCATCCTCAACACTTCAACGCCTGCTATCCCTTTGAACCTCTCTATACAATACCAATAGTCTGATATCCTACTTATCTCGTTACTCTCTTAGGCATCTATATTCATACGATCGTTAATCATCCTTCTCTAGGCTCTAGATGATACTATAAACATATATCGTCCTAAATACAGGCGGAAATAAAGTATATCAAATGGAGGAATCGGAAGCAGGGCCGAGTGGGACTCAGCAACCCTCGAGATCGGCATCGATCTCATCTGAGGGATCGAAATGTATCATCTGTCTGGTCAATGTTGACGAGCAAGAGTTTACAACGCTCCCCTGCTCCCACAGCTTCCACGCTGAATGTCTCGATAAGTGGACGCAGGTATAGGATCCAGCCGAGTTTCGAGAAGGCCAGATGCGATGCCCCATGTGCCGCTCGCCGCTCCTCTATGCGTGCGGCGACGTCATATCCAGACACTTCCTCCGTCCCGGCGTCAGAATCCTCCCAGAAGAGCTCAGGACATGTTGCCCCTTATATTCGCGGACCATAGACTCGCACTCCGTCCCCGAGGTCGGCCGACCCCTGTTCCCGTCTATAATAGAAAACTGGGAAATAATTTACCAACAGCTGCAAATATTAGACGGCCAAGCTATACCGCGTCGTCGGTATCTTCCCTGGAATGAAGCCCACCCGGGGGCCGAGTTAATCTACCACCACGACAACGAAGATCCATACGCGCCCCCGAACGTCATCCCGACCGAAGGAGAACTCCACATGAACATCCCAAATATCCCCGAAGGGCGACGCGATCATTGGGTCAAGCGCCCCAAGCATCATGACTTCCACTTCAGGGCATGCCCCGAAGACAGTTTCCAGGGGGGAGATGTTTTTGTCTTCACCAAATCGCTCGTCATCGTAGCCCTGGAAAACGAGTGGCCCGCGATAGTCGACGCGCAGATCGGCGAGCTGAAGAACAGGTTCGATACTTTCCGTCGGCGCTGGCCCAACGAAATCATGCCTGTAAGCGATGCCGCCTTCGGAATGATCACGGAGGCGTACGCGAAGCTGAAGCTCAAATATCTCATGTTCAGGCGCCAGCACGAGGGGTTCATCGAACTGGGCCCCGTGGCGTTGAGATACCGGGACGCTGCCGAGCACGAGTTGCAGGCTAGGCTGGATGACTTCTGGCAGAGATTCGAGTGGATTCGTAGGGAGGTGGACGAGGGGTACGCGCGCACAACTTCTTAGAGACGGGAGATCATGGCTTCCCACCGGGATGGGACATGATTTAGCCTAGCCGGAGCGACAAACACTGGAGCAGAGTTAACTTTTTACGCTCGTTGGCGGTATATGCTTGGAATGGGAATGCACAGCGATGTTTCCTGTATTGGAAATTATATTTCCCTATTACGACTTAAGAGGAGTCACGCTTGTCTTTTATAGCGCGGATATTTATAGCTACTTCTGGTATAGCGAGCCTTCCTTTCGTTATCTAGTATCTCAGGTAGCAAGCACAATGGAATACAGCGTGAAGCTAAGCCAGGCTCCCTCGTACTAATCTGTCTGCCGAGTGATTTGACCATCAAGGTTGGAGGACGGGATCTATCAACCTCGTTCCCCTTCCCCTCCCTGTACGCCCTCCAACGGCAATGGAGAGGGTACTGTATATATACATATATGTAGTCCTGTCCGTCTTAGTAGCTCACGATGTAACTACTGTTTGGTATGGAGGTAATTTAGTAGATATGTCGAACAATGTGGTACGTGGGAGAAGGGGGGGTAATGTTAGCATAGGTAGCCTTGGAGTATACAGCGTGTAGGGTAACAGGTAGGTAGTTACCTACGTGCTGTGTATATTAGGTACCTATACAGACATTATAATCTGATATTATCTACACAAGAACTCCCATATGTTGGCTAGCTAGCTCTATACTATGTATCTCTCAACGATAATTCTCACCACCACCACCACCACTACTACTACTACTACACACCACAAGCTCCTATACTCTCAAAGCACAAGCAAACACCGTTCCGTTTCTCTGACTGTTAATTTATTTATCTATTTCGTTCCCCGCGCCCGTTTCAAGCTCACAGGTTGTAAAAACAGGTCAGGTATAGGTATAGGTATGTCTGTATGTACAAAGCCGCGCCGCCAAAAGAAAAGATTTATATATATATATACAGCGAAAAGTATCAAGACGTATGCGCCATCCATCCATCCGTCCATCCATTCTTAACTCCCCCCTCGCCTCATACACTCTAGTCTAGTCTGGATTTTGTGTGTATGCCTATCTAGGTCTAGCAACGACAACGACAACGACAACGACAACGCCAATGCCAACACCGCCCGCCCTCATTATGTATTGCATGTATGCATGGTATGTATACCCCCCGATTCCTAAGTTTTCTTCTTTTTCTTTCCCGAACTCAAGAAAGCCATGTATGCGTGAAAAAGGAACACACCACTACCTACCTACCACTACCACCTGGCTAGTACGTCCCTGCTGTGCCCATCTGCAGACTGACCTCCCATCTCAAGCTGCCGCCCTTGCCGTACCCCTCGCCCAGGCGATTCTGGATCAGGCTCGACACGCGAGCGCGAAGGCGGCTTATGGCCGCGTCGTCGGCGCTCCTACTAACCGAGAGCTTGAGGTTCGCCATGCATAGACCATAGTGCACCTGCCAGAACTGTGCCTCCTCGACCCGTTCAACGCTCGGCTCGGCCTCGATCTCACGCACTACATCCGCGACGCCGACGTCCTTGTTCCGGCCGGACCCGGAGCGTCCACCGTAGCTCATCAGCAGCATCAGGCCCTGGGCTATGGCGAGACGAAGGCCGAGCGCGAACATGGCTATGGCTACTAGAGCGCAGATAGTGCTGTCGAGAAGGACGCCGATGGGAATGTATAGGAGGGGGAGCACGACCATAAGGGCGGACGTGGAGAGCGCTAGAAAGTGGAAGGGGTTCGAGAGGACGCTGGGCAGGCTGGCGAGGTAGCTCACACGCATGACCTTGCTAATGCGAGCGTGGTTTCTTAGCCCATACGCGCTCACGAGGGTTGCGACGATGGCGGCTAGACTCGCCATATCAACGTCTCCGAGCGGGACTCTAGGGGCCAGTCCGTCGTGGGGATCGGGGTGGTGCGACGAGTGTCCGCCTTTGCCCTCGAGGACGTGCTTCAAGTTATGGCTGACTAGGTCAAACCCGCCGAAGATAAGGAAGATGCTCAGGGCGAAGCCGGCGAGCACCTCGGCGCGTTCCAACCCGAAGGGATGCCGGATGCTGCTTCGCTTCCACACCTCGAAGTTGCCTAGGACCTCGACGGCTACGCAGATCAGCGCGGACCCGACGTCGAATAGGACTAGGTGGGAGAGGGCTGTCATGGCGAGGGAGCCGTGGGCGGAGAGGAAGACGGATATGGCGATGACGCCGTGGCATATGCACCAATACAGCCGGTGGCGCTGGTCCTTGGACATAGACTTCCAAGCCTCTTTTACGGTGGGTATGGGCAGGTCGCGCGGCAACGCAAGCGGCGGACGCGGCGGCGGCTCTTGGAAGATCTGGTGCTGGGCGCTGATGCTCGAGTGCTTGTACTTGTGGCCACGGCGCTGGCCAACGTTTGGCTTGACGGGGGAGGTGGAGATGACCTGGGTCTGGAAGTTGAAGGGATTCGGGGCGCCATTGGAGGAGGAGGAGGAGCCGGGGATGTCGATTGGCGAAGCATTTTCGTTGAGACCGGCCGAGCTGGACGTCATGTTGGGAGGGCTGGAGAAGTCGTTGATCTGGAAAGTGGGAGTTACAGGCGATAAGCGATTGGGATCGTAGAAAGTATCGCGGTCGGGTGTAAGTAAGCTCCTACGATCGTACAAGGCGTAATCCAAGTCCACCTGGGGGTTATCGTCGTCGCTGCCGTCGTCGTCGTCGTCGGGAGTCTTGATAGCGGGAGTGATAGATATGGGCGGTGGTGGTGCAAGGCTGCTGGGAGCCATCCCCGACCGATTTGGCGCTTATCCCGATTCAGAAATGTACAATACAGTTAAGTAAATAATGGGGAAGGGAAATGGGGAATTACTATGTTACCCACGGTAATCCGTAGAGGTAGTAGTGTGTTTCCCGTGTGGCGTGGCGTGGATGCGATCGAATGGCCGACCTCATCTCGTTTCCATATTCGAGGTCGGCTCTCTCCTATTTTTTTTCTGGAAGAATTGTCTTGGACCGGAGTCGCGGTCGCCCGGTTCAAGAAGGTGCATGCAGCGTGCGGTGCCTTGGCTGGTTGCTTAATTCGAATTGGAATGCGGAGGGAGTTTGGTTCGATTGCGTCGCATGAATTGACTTTTGGCTTAGTGTTGGACGTAAACTGGCCTAAAGTTTAGGCTAGGTTAGTTGCTTCGCTATTATATGCGTACCAATGGTATATGCTGTACCTATGTATTGTACTTTGTACTTTGCTTTACTGGTAAATGCACCGAAGATGCCTGGATGCTTCGCGGTGGTATGTACCTAACTATAAGAGGTACACGCACCAACTCATCTTCTAACTAGCGCGTTTTAAAGTTATGGCTGCATATCTGTAGGTACATTATGTACCTACATACATATGTACAGGAGCCTTACGGAACGTACCGTGGGGCTGCTGGATAACGGACGACGGTCGCCAAAAGAGCCGCGATGAACAATGAAAGTTCACACTATTTACGCCAGCCTCTAGAAACCACCACTCCACCACTTAAAGCACAGCAGCCCTTTTGGTTGCTTTGATCGCCGCCGCGCTTCACGATATAGCGCATACTTGGATGCTTTGCAGGGGGGAACATCCCCTCGCATTGACTTCTCCTTGGCCGGGGAGCTTTCGATCCTTAAGGCTTATGTACAGATTACAATACCAATCAATATACGCTCGCTTATAGCTCTGATGTATTTCTTCGCTTGACGAGGCACGATGGGAATCGGCACGACGTTCCCTTATTTTGAAGGACAGCAAAGCCCGGAATACGATATACAATGGAGAACACACCTCCAGCTCACATGCAAAGCCAGAATGCGTCATCGCCCGATATAGCAACAGGAGCACGCAAAAGGAGTGGTTCTGGGGGGAGCATCCTCTCCAAGTTCCCCTTTTTGCGCACGTCGGATAGCAAAGCTGGTCTCAACGAATCGCGCCATGCCGAGAATTCCCAAGACCCTTCTAGTAAACCACCCCGCGCCCTTGCTGCTACTTTCCAACAACAAAAGACTCGCAGGCGCAAAGGATCGCTTCGCAAAGTTGCCCTGTTAGGTCGCGGCGCGGCGCGAGAAAAGCGGGAGCTCAAGCCTCTTGCCATCGATACATCACATACCGCCCAGTCGCAATCATCCCCCGACCCAATTACCACTCCCAAACCGCAAATCATGCCGGCAAACGAGAGTCTGGGCTTAGGCATCTCCGATCTGACGCCGCGACCATCTATGGACGGCTATGCTACGAGAGATAGCCTGTTGATGTCTTCACCACAATCCCCCGATACCGAATCGCACCTCACGAGCCCTACCATATCGTATACTTCTACCACGGACGAGGAGGATATCCTTTCGATACCTATCCGCGTCCCCTCGCCTCTCCGTCCGGAGCTCTCCCCGGTATCGTCCGGCTCCGACTCCTACTTCCAAAACCGCGCGCCCTCTCTCCAGCGGCGGCGCTCGATCAAACATGCCAAATCGCCCTTGTCGCTCCAAGGCCTGACAGCCAGCCCGCTTCCCACGGCGCACGAAAACCACGATTACAGCGAGACGGAGTGGTGGGGATGGGTCGTGCTGATCGTGACGTGGTTCGTGTTTGTGATAGGCATGGGTTCCTGCTTAAACGTCTGGAGCTGGGCCTGGGATGTAGGAACGACACCGTATGCGCCGCCGGAGCTCGAGGATGACCCAACGCTGCCTATAGTCGGGTATTACCCGGCGCTGATCATATTGACTTGTATCATGGCTTGGGTATGGGTCGTAGTGGCGTGGATAGGCATGAAATACTTTAGACATGCCAAAATAAGCGGCGATTGACCCATCGAGCGTCATAGTTTGCTGAGGTGCTTTGCTGATAATATACTAATATTAATCGAGTCATGTTGGTGTATGTGAAGTGATAGTAGTGAATTGGGACATGAAGCACGCTAGAGGATAGAACAGACATCGGAGACGGGCGAGACATTGACTTAGAAACGGCATATATTGTGATACAGACCAAGAGAAGCGATTCAGCTAATACCGAGCTCGGTGAAGTGTTAGAATCTGATATTCTGAAGTAGCGAGAAAACACATTCTTATTTTCATAACTACCGTATATAGCAATTTTATCGAAGAGGCAAACTTTAGAAGTTATGAAAAGGAGGCTGCGGTCTTTGCTTAGGGTTAGCATATATAATATTCAGAGCTCATAAGATGAGATGTTCTACCGAGCTATCATATACGTTCTTATATCATAACCGCTGGACGTCAGTGTTTATCTCTTGGCTTATATAGGCGGGGTCTAGTTGTACTATTGCCTTCTAATGGCTCTAAAACTAATAAGTTTACTTAACCGCGTTCGTGGTTTTGCAGACGCGCCTGAATCAACATTCCCGTTTTTTGAGCTCCTTTTTTTTTTTTTTTTTTTCTTGCTTAAATGTGATCATTTCTCGAATCACATTCGTCACTACCTAATGTAGCAAGATGGCCTCTCAACAGTCTACGAACACTAGAATCGGGGGCTCTGCTTCCAATTCAGCCACCATACGCGGACTTGCTGGAGTTGACAACGCCTCTGTTTCTGGAAATACGAGCTTTACACGTCAGCGACAAGACCGAGCGCATACGTTATCTCTCACATCTCGGCCTGATCGACGATTACAAAAGCAGCGATTTCGCTGCTGCGTGTGATCAGCAGTGGGAGTCTTCTTTGGGGGAAAATCCCACGGGAACCTTGCTGCGTACAACGGCGTTTGGTAATGGGGACTTGTACAGCCGAGTCTTCCTCCATGATACGTCTACGGGTGAATATATACGTGAGGCTGGGGACTTGGACGATCCGCCTGATCTCCGTGGTTTCAAGGGTGGCCGTACACCGGCACGGAAGTCACAAAGAGAGTTAGATACGGAGGGGTTCGAGGAGGCTTTTGTTAGAGGAGCATTGGAGATGGGACGAGCACAGGGCTCCTCTGATATCGAAAAGGCGGTCGCATACCTCCAAGATAACCTCGTCGACAGATTATCGGAAGATCAGTTTTTCTCGGCTTGTAAGACGTTGGTAGAGCCGCTGAAGGCCGTGGCTTTCAACGCTTTTCAGTCCAGGGAGCACAGATTACGGTATCTTGGTATAGGTGTAACCTAGTTACTTGAGATGCTCATAACTAGATTAATTAAACTGCTGAGTTGGCCAAATATCAAGTTTATAAAAGGCAGTCATCTAAGCGAGAGCTCCTCCCCTTTTGCCTAGTCTGAATAAAGACTAGAATGCAGCTTGCCTTACCGCCAGTACTGAATGGATCGTCCAGGTCCTCACATCGTAGCTCATGGTACTAATCGGGATTCGGTGCCGAGAAACGTGGGCTCTGCTCTCCGCCGTTCCCATGTAAAAAAAGGTAATCTTATCGAGACAAATCGCGTTTCATCCCACGTAGCCCTATCATGCATAAGATCTCAATATTCCACGTCGACGGTTTCAATATGTGCTACTGATGAACGTGAGGCTGAATTGGAAGAGAGCTTTCTTATTCATAATGAGTGAATGAATAGTAGGTAGGTATTGCGTTTGCTGTCAAATTTGGTGTGGCAAATTCGGTGTAGCCTCGCGTAACGAACCAGTACCTACATGGGTGGTATATACATACATGGGTCATGGCGGGCATTCTGATGACGAACTCGGTGGACGGTACGGTTTTTGGTGGCTGACGGGAGGCTCGTTGGATGTAACGTCAGATCTAAAGCATTGCATGAAAGTCGCTCACGAGTTCTTGGCTTTTCTTGCTGGTGCTGGCTTGAGCCAACCCTGTGTGGTTGTATCGTTCGTTCCCGAAAATCCGTAAGGCCGTTGGGTCCTTCGCCGATGCAAAGAAGAGGTCCGAACGCACTGCGCGCATGGGGATCTTATTTCGCGGTGGACCATGATATGGATACCTACCTACATACTTGCCTTACCTTGGATACCTACCTGGGTAGCTTGGCTTAATCCCCATCATAAGTGTATAGGTATAGGTATAGTAAATCCACATCTCGCCTAGAGATGCCACCTACGTCAGTTGGAACTATGCTGGAACTTCAATGTCTCTCATTGTCTTTAACGACCGGCGAAGTTTACTGGTAGACTCGTCAGCTAAGGCGCGGCTGATCAGACTGTCAGAGTCTGTAGCCAATTGGCTTTGTAGGCGCCGCAAGAAGGCGTAAGGGAGGCAGTACATAGAGAACACACTTTGCCACGACCAACCGTATCCTGTAAGGGGCTTTAGGCTATCCACTATGTTTACTGACGGGCGTCAAATGGACCATTAGGAGAATTCTCCTGTTCAAAAGAGTTGAATTAACTCTTTGCGGCATATCGGCACATTACGTATTTTTGCATTTTGCATTTTTGCATGTTGGTAGTTAGTTCGGGCGTTTCTGCACAAGGATGATTACTCTATTACTTTATGGGTGAGGCAACTTGAGCCACGTGAGCAATAACCGATCTTAATAAGCCGCTACTTTAGACATGGATACGATCGTTGGCTTACCTGTTACATAGTAGCTTATTATGTAGTTAGTATATTCTAAGCTCACGTATCTAACTAAATACATATGCTACAACTACTCTTCAGAGAGGTCCTGTAAAAATAAATAAATTAAAATCAATACTACATAGTATGTAGAAATATCAAAATATCAAATATTACTAGCTCGATGGATCCATAATGATGCGAGATATGCGAGTAAAATGGAAGCTTTCGGGATTCGGGCTGAGCCGGTATTATTAATAACGGATGCTCCGTCGTATACATCTTAATTGCTTATACATATGTACGGACATAGTACACCCCTTACCCACACGACTGCCTTTCAGTATGCAGGTACCAGATTCTATAGAGACACACGGTCCCCTAAGATAGGTAACAAATCATAAAGAAACCATTAAGACAAACTACATATATAGGTACCTATGTACATAATATGAAGGACGTCAACGCCGATGAAAAGGAGGCATGCGCCGTTTGCTATTCAAATCTCCCAACGGAAAACCCTGGTTGTACTTTTTTATAAATGGCCTGGGGCTGAACAACTATTAAGTCCGTGCCAAGGCCCAATTTGTGACGCGATGCCACGCGCATACAGTAGTATGTGTTAAGATGTAACCCTAGATGCTCTAGACTATGTACTATGTATGCCTCCTCCCTTTGTCTTCCTAGTTCGTGCTACCACATAAGAATAACTCGCCTCCCTACTATTTATGTAGGTACCACCATGAGGGGATAAGGGGGAACTGCTTGAAGTTTCATGTTTTCATAGGTATTTTACATTTCACTCTTTAAAACCAGGTCCCTCTGAATGAACTATAAGTATACATACCTAGTCGACGATCGTATGATACAGGTGCATATCACAAGCCGAAAATAGGCAAGGAAATTACAAATCTTTTATTTAACGGGCGAGGTCGGGGAAGCCAAGAAGAGGCCTTGCTTTAAAAAGCTTGAGCGTGCCAACGCGATAGCAGCAGGAAATAACTGGTATGAAACGCATAGAGCAAACCAATGTTTGCTTTACATAGACTAATAGTCAATACGTAGGCCGTAATTAGTCGGAAATCATGGGTAAGAACCCGCCAGCGCGGGCACGGCTTCATTACAAAAACACACAGACCATTCCAGAATACTAGTGGCTTATTACTACCTAATATAAGCAAGGTGTCTACGATGCGAACCCAATAGAAAAACTACCAACCTCCTTTCTCGGCCGTGTCTTCTCTCCGGTCCCTGATCGTGGAGGATTCTCCGAGCGGGGACGGGCTCGGCGAGCAACAAGTCAACTGGAGTCCCTGCATCTGAACTATTTAGGTACCTACCTACCTAAATCTTATGGTTTAAGCTTGATTTTCACGTAGAACGCTATACATAATAGACCGATATAATTCTACCAGACGAATCTTGCTACTTTATGTATGAGACGAGATGAATTCTTTCCAACCTAGAACAGTATTTTCCGTTTAACGTTGGAGATGCGGATACACCCGTACACGTTTATAGCCGGCCGCTATAAAAAGAAAAACAAAAACAAAAAGCACAGAGCTCAGGCCGTAACGTGCTGTCTTGGGTGGTTCTGGACTTGCACGTGTTGAATTACAGATGCTATTGTAAATTCGAGATCTTCGCCACGACAGCATAATTGAGAAAAGGCCGCTTATCGCGGTACGCTTCCCTCCAGTTAGAAAAACGTATAGTAGTTTCGAAAACAGCCTACGGTTCATTCGTGCAACTGCATGCGAAACATACCTGGTAGCTGGCACGTATAGGAGCTCTCTAAGTCGTTCGCCTTGATGGTAATTTGTCGGACATCGCCAGCGTCCACCAATAGCGGTCGTACCCTTGAGTCTTTAACAGTGGATTAGGTGGATTAAAGATATCTCATATTGTACCGTGATCTTATGGAATATTATAGATCGTGATAAAAACATCTGAACATTTTTACTATATCATTCTCATCTTATATAAATTTCGGCTTGATTAATTGAATTGGATTTGATTTTATAAGAGTCAAAGCGAATGTCGTTCGTTTAGGAGGTATATCAAATTCCGTAACGGGTGCCTGTGTTAAATATTAGCACTCCCGCTCCAGTGGACCACATACCTAGAAAACAAGGGTAGGTAGCTAGGTAGCTCGCCGCCTATTGCCTGTTGATCGCGAACCGATTCATTAAGAGGAAACTCTTCTTTAGTGTAAAATTACTTGACTACTCTCCATATATACCTAGGTAGGTACCATGTACATAATATGAGTCTCTGTCTTATAGAATTATGTCATGTCGGGTTCGCCGCATTGCTACTCGAGTCTCGACCCAACGCGCTGGAAAAAAAACATTTGGAACAATATTTGGTACAGACCTACTAAAAAGTGTGATTGTGGCATCATGTAGAGTATGCAAGTCAGGTATATGCTAATCTTAGCGGCCAGCCCAGACCGGATCAGTGGATAAGTTACCGTAATAGAATTTAAGGACATTAGCGTGCCTGCAGTTGTGAGCTCTACTGTACATACCTGTATGTGACTAGCCTAGCAGAAAAAATTAAGTCGACCTCTTTGCTCTTCGGCAGCACTTGACAGCGTTTGAACCCTGGTTCGTCTTGTGGCAGCTGCAGTGGGCAGCCCCTACCAGCCTACCTAACTTGGCAGACCCGGTCGCCTCTCGCCTCTTTTTTTTTTTCTTGCAACAAACTTGCACCGGAGCGGAACCACTTCCCTTTATTACCAACTCTAAAATTCTCCCCCCTAGTTCAGATAGTGTAGCCATCTTTTCCCACAGATACACCAACCATCTCACAACGCCTGAATCGAGTCGCTGCCCTCTTTCCTAAACGCCGCAATTCTTTTTCTCTCTTCCTCCTTGTTTCGTCTCTGCTCCTATCTTTCGATCTGGATGGAGACATCCGTCTTTCCATAGAGTCCGCCGCGCTGGAGATTCGGGCCTCCAACTTGCAATTTGTTTTACACCGTCCGTCACGAAGCGATTCAATACTGCCTAAGAAATACAGCGGTCTGAGGCATTTGACCAACTTCGCAAGTCGAGTTACGATCGAACGTTCGGATTCATTTCCCAATTAATCGTATCTTCTCATTTTCGTCCTTTATACCTTGCCGCAAATCCTAGAAACGTACCCGACCGACGCCTTTACCCCCATGGTTGAAAACAAGTACATCTCGATTTCTATTGTTCTGTCAGCCCATTGACAATTGCGCCAGCAGAAGAGACTTGGGTTTTCTTATTACGCATTTTTCACGGACATCAGTTTCCAAATTCTGCTGCCCAAGTACAGAAAGAACTGAACTTGGCACTTTTCCGTTAGGTACTTTGCATTAAGTTCCCGCATTAAATTCTACGCGTCCGTTTCGACCCATTGAAGAGGTGGTCTGCGTTTCGTATATAGAAGGGTCATTTCCAAGGACGCAACCGCCGCTTCCAGCCATAATACCCACATATTGACGTTTCTGTACCATCCACCGGCGTCACCCTTCTTCAATTCTGCCGATATCATCATCATTCTTGAAATTCTATATCGCCCAACATGAGAGAAGTCAATTTTAGCATCCCCAACGTCAATAAGGCGTCGGTGGGCATCACCACCGCCTTATACGACCGCCGGGCACTTGATTGCACTTCAACTCTCCCCCTCATCAACTCGCTCAATCATCTCGCTTACCTTACGACTTCTTCGGCTCGCATTCGGGATATCCTAACCGTCGACGGAGGAATCGAGAGGCTGGTATGCATATTGAAACAGGGACGGAGCAAAGATATGATGGATATGTGGAAGTGGAATCTAGCCTTCCAGTGTGTAGTCAACATTGGAGTTAGAGGAACTGAGAATGTGAGGACTCGGGTGGTCGAGGCTGATATGGTTCCCGTTATCGCAACTATACTCGATAACTATATCAAGGTTATCGAAAAGTGCCGCGAAAAGGCAGAAGAGGCCAAGCAGAAGCAGATAGCTGACCACCAACAGCGACACCGGAGTCATAGCCATCGGGAGCCGCCATTCAAATCATCTTTCGCAAATCGTTCTAGTCGCTTAGACCTCGACCAAAGGGCTTTCCGTCGGCAAGCTCCACCGCCGTCTATCGATGTCGCAGCCGCTTCTTTTGCGAGCACGTCGGCTGCGGCCGAGCAGGCTACTACTGAGGTTGCTCCAGCTATCCCATCATTTCCCATCACATCTCCTCCAGATCGTTCTGCTTTCCCCAACCACCGTCATCATCACCATCATCATCACCACCATCACCACCATCATCATCACAGACAAGAAAGTCGGCCGAACATTATATCACCGTCGCGGCAGGTGATCCAACCCTTGGCGAGTGCGGTCCCGACTATGGAGGCGGTTGATGGTTTCATTCGTCCTGTTCGAGACATCGACCGACTACCATCAATGGTACCAGTTTTCCACCCCGGCCTACCATCACAACCTACTTCGCCTACCACGCCTTTACCTCCACCTCAAACCCACTCGCCGGCGGTTAGACCTACCTCGGAATTAATGCCAAACGGTCGGTCTAGGCGACGCCCTTCCATACGTCATCAGAACTCGACTACGGATGCGGATGATTTGAATGCTACCGATAGCGTGCAATCAGACGAGTCTCAAGATGCTGAGATGTCTGGTACTGCTGACATCCAGCCTACGGTTGGCTTCCAGGATATTGCTATGGAAGAGGGCGACAGTACTCTAGCTGGTGCTGCTCTCGACTTGACAACGCCGACGGTCTCCGAGATCCCAGATGCGGGAACCTTCAACATCACACATCGAACCCCTCTAGACGGCAGTCTACCAAATAACACGCCGACCCCCGGGCCGGCAATGGGTCTTTCTCCTAACCGTCCCATTGTGCCTACTCCGCAACCTTCTCTTCCGAACCATGCAAGTGTACCGCGGTACCTTTTAGATCGGCCAGTTCCCCCGAACCCGCAGATGCTAGCAGCGATGCCCAGAGAGGAGGATGTATTAATGTCTCTGCAACTTCTAGCATACGTTTCAAAGTACTGCAATCTGAGGTCGTATTTCCAACAGAGTCACCTCGTGCCGCGGCTTCAAATAGGGAAGGAGTTGCAATTACTTGACGGGGATAACGTAACGGCAGAATCATTGGGACAGCAAGAGTACGAGGAAGAATATCTCCTTCCAAACGACTTTAACATATTCCCATTGGTAGAGAAGTTCACAGTGCGGTATCATAGTACCGATATGCAATATTGGGCTGGGGTCGTGATGCGTAACCTCTGCCGCAAGGACGATACCCGAGGTGGCATTCGACAATGTGCATACTACCAGTGCGGTAAATGGGAGGAATACACGCGGCAGTTTGCTAAGTGCCGGCGATGCCGTCGAACGAAGTACTGCAGCAAGGAGTGCCAAAAGAGCGCTTGGGCATTCCACCGTCACTGGTGTGTCGCCACTTCGCAATGATCATGCCTTTCCATTCCATATCCACATCTCACATCTCACGTCATTACATTTCGCATGGCGTTTTCTCAGCATAAATGTTCTACTTGATCGATTTGATTCATGACTTGAATTGCATCGCGAAAGCAAGCATAGCACCAACATGGCGTCTGCGCTCTGATACCACTGATTTTGCTCAGCATTATGGCTCTCCTTTGTCACTGGCTGCTATCGGACGGATTATTACGAAATGCAGCCCCCTTTTTTCTCGAAATCTCATCGCATTTGAGGTCAATTGGGCGTGGCGGTTCATCGTAAAGCCTATATAGGGTTTGACGAACGCCTCATAAGTTTTGACCAGCATCATGGTGAATGTGTGGCATTGATTAAGTCTAGCCCTCTTGGTTCGCTGTTGGCGAGAGCAGGGCCTAGATTTAACAGCCGTTCGCTTATCCATGCCATCGAGCAAGCCGTTTTGGCAGTTTTGCATTGCTCGTACACATCATTTCATTAGTTTATGGGGTCACAACAGGTTCACCGGAGAAAAGTGTCATTCTAAACCGCTGACGGCCTAGCCGTCGGGGTCGTCTCGATCTCCTTTGAGGTCGTTTGATTCCATTGTTTTTATATAAGGGCAACAGCCGGTGGCTATCGAGGCGAAGCGAAGAGGACAATCTTCCATCGTCCTCCGCAGGTCTGGGGAGGAAGTCATTCGGCAGGGTACTCGGCCGAGATGGGGGGGCGTTACTAAGGTCACTCGAGGAAAAGCCGATCCGAGGAACAGACATAACCTGATAGGAGTCTAAGAATAGTTGCTGCACGGCAGGTCTGCTTGCCAATCCCCCGAATTCTACGATTTGTATCTTTATCATAACTACAAGAAGACCAATGAAACCAATTCAAAAAATTCAAACCAAATCGGACGAATGAGGTCGCCGTGTGGTGATGTGATGCTTGTGTTCGTGAATTGCTATGACAGCTAAGGGGGGCTAGCTTGTTTGCTCTCTGCTTGCTATTCGGGCCGGATATCATTGCTAGACTGGACGTTGGGATAATATTAGCAAATCCGGAGTTAGGCGCGCAGCGGCCAGAAATCACGGCGAATATGATATATATAAACAGACTGCTCAGAGCATACGGTATCTAAATGTATCTATTCTAATATTATTAATACGGCATGTATGCCGTAGCCAAGCTTAGTCGATCCTCGATGAGGATCTTGGTTGATTTATTGTTATTACTATTGTTATCGTGATATCAGATGTACGTCTATATGTGTAACCTAGTAGACTACCCCTTTTTCGTGTGTTGTGAGGCTGTTGTTGTTTTTTCTGCTGGGGGTCGGTAGGTATGTGTTTGGAAGATGTGTTGGTTTGCTAGGGGGGTGGCTGTTATTAAAGGTTCGTATTTGGGTTGGTCTTTGGCTAAGCGGAAAGGATAGGAAGATCCCCTTGACGTGTGGCTGTCTTTTGGGTTGTTGGGTGGGTAGGAGGCCTTTGGGTAGGTGGATAGATGTTGGGTATGGGTGCAATAGCAGGGCTGTCTGTAAATACTGGATCCCTTGATGGCCGTGTTGGTAGTTAATGTCTTGGAAGGTTGATTTGTGTATTAGGAACCCTGGGGGTCGAGTCTAGGTTAGGTGAGGAGGCTTTTCTTGGTTCAGTCTTGTTATTCCAGCTGTGTACATGAGAGCTACAAGCTGGGGTTGGAGGGACACTAGGGACGTGTTAACCTAGTTGATTGAGTGTTTTCGAACGTGAATATCTTATATTGAAGACTAGTGTATGTGTGCGCGCGTGCGTATGCTATACAAGACATGACATGCATGCCTATAGACATGTAAGGACTAATAAGTACGAAGGGCCTCCAGCTTAAAAGACAACTAATATATTTTGGTGTATACCATTGTTGGCTTTCTTGGTTCCAAATCCCGAGCCTGGTTTTAATAACCTGTTGTAAAGGGTGTGAGTTGTGTGATATTGGCGAGCAACTGAGACGATAAATAGTATTGCAGCATATTATATATAAAAAAAGGTATAAGGAAATGCGTTCATGGCAGCTATAAGAGGTAATATTTTCATTTATTAATTTTATATTAGAATACCATAGAGAGTGTGAAAATGTTATATACATAAGTTCATTTAGTGTTAGAGCAGTATTACTATGCGGCCTGTTAACAGGTCAACAAGACTTATGTTACCGTTTATAACTAAAATCAAGAGATTGTTGAAATATAGATACTATCTCTAAGTTTACCGTAACACTAGACATAGTAAAATTATGTAGGATGGTCATTTAGGTAAAGAGAAGAGCTGTAGTAGACGTAGATAGGTCTGACTGGGGACGGATGTTTAAGATAAGGCGAGGCTGAGTCCCACTAAAGAACACGCCTGAAATACATATAGTATTGATAATTCAGCTTACATTAGCTAGATCGCTAGATAGATGTACAATACGTGCAGGTATCATCCTATGCATTTGGAATTTGTACATGCACTTTCCTTAATTCTCCCACGGATGCTGCGATGTACTTGATACATGTACTTTTGGGCAACCGCAGTCATGTAATTGATACTATTGGTAAGTACGGTCGGACAGCGTGCTAGCGATCATACCAATTGCGGCTCTTGAAACCCAGCCGTGTTGGTTTCAGAACCAATAGCAACCCCTTGATTTATATTAAGTACTGTATTGGCTGCTCCGTACCCTATAGCTGAAAAGCTCATTTGGTTATCACGTTAGCCGTGGGTTTCGAACTTTTAATATTTTAGTTAGTTACCAACTTACTTTCATTCCTCTTACTCTTTTTACCTACTCCTCCCTCCTAGCGGTGTTTAGCTGTCTGCCAAGAGTAATATATAAGTCGTGTCTTTATCCACTTAAGTACTTACCTACCTAGGTACACCACATCTTCCGATTGTAAGTGTCCATTTCCCCTGTGAGGCTGCAGATGTATGTGTAATTGTGTAACCGCAGCATCTATTTAAAGCCAACTTAGGAGGTAGTTATTACCTAGGTACATATTAGGTAGTAGCAACAACAGCAACAGAAAGTCTTGGCGTTGGACCCCACCATCATCACCGCCGTTGAAGCTTCTCCAACCCCTCCTCCAACAAAGATAGGGGCTTTATTCACATTCTACTCTTGTGTCTATAAGCTAACAAAACATCAACCTGTAGTCATCATGGCTACGCGGCCGAGTTTATTTACTAGAGGGCTTTCCTCCCTCTCCCAGAGCACCGATGCAAACTCGCCAAATGTCAGCTCGCCCGCCGAGCAGCGAGACGATGCTAAGCGCAACCTGTTCAAGACCATGCGCCCTCTGCCCACCCAGCATTACTGGAACGTCTATTTTGACAGGTGAGATACTGATAGTATCCACGCTTATTTAATACATTTCCTCTTCTAACGCTGGTGTTTTCGTCTAGACAAGCCAAAGACCAAAAGAAGGAAGACGAGGCCAACTACCAGGCATCCCTAGAACAGCTAGGAACCCAGATCGAGTCGGTCCAGGACTTTTGGCGATATAATAACAATACCCCGGTAGATCAGATAAAGATGCGCGAGTCTATCTACTTGTTCAAGAGTGGCTTCAAGCCTATTTGGGAGGACCGTCGTAATGTGCTGGGTGGCAGCTGGACCTTCCGCGTGCCCAAGAGTTCCGGTCCTGACTTCTGGACCCGCATCCAACTGATGGCCATCGGCGAGAAGCTACAGGAGGTTCTGGAGGAAGGCGATCAGATCTGTGGCGTCGGCCTCTCCGTGCGCTTTAACTCGCACCTGATTTCTATCTGGCACCGCGATGCGTCTAAGCAAAAGTCTATCGACAATCTACTGCAAGCTGTCTTGGACGACTTACCTCCCGAGCTGACACCGAAGTCCGATAATTACTTCTACAAGAAGCACTCGGACCACCCCGGCTTCAACCCGCCTCCTGAGCTTAAGGCGGTCCTGGACTCGCAAAAGAAGACCCTGGAGGCTGCCGCCGCCAAGAGCGCTGCTACTGCGGCCCCTCCCTCGGAGTGAATACTAGCTTAATATGGCACATGACATATAAGAAGGAAAATAACCAGCCGAGTTTCTTAGGCTTCTGCAGGTGTATAGTTTACAAGACTCATGTACACGCATTACGTGGATATTGCACAGCTCGCTTTCGTGGTATAAGTCATCTTGCCTTCCCCCTGTGCGTATGAGGGGGCTGCATTTTTGGCGTTTACAATGGATATGACTGGATACGATTGTTGAATCTCTTGGACATGTGGATGCTACATACGAGAGTGGGAATTTCATGGGCCAGACTTGTAATAAGACTTTGGGTCCCGTTGTCTTTTTGTGACTCCTGAGTATAAATGCAGACATGTGGTCTCAATATATAAATATCACAATAGACTTTATCACGTCGAGAGAATGCATCTATTTTATCGACAGTCTGAATAACTCTTTCCCCTATCGTAGTCGGAGTGTTACTATGCTCTGGTAAACCCATCATGATACTACTGTTGATCTGGAAGAACGCCTATAGATCTAGACCTGGAGAAGTCGAGCATCACTCGCTAACAAAGTGATATATAATAATAGTTCTTCTGGTGACTCGAAGACAGAGGCTTAGTTGGACTTGGTGTTTTAGTGATAGTTGTATGCACATCCCAAAGCAATGCTATAATATGTCACTTATCTCATGAGAAGTTTAATAAGCTAGAATAAATAGTAACCCGTCATCCGAAATAAGGAGCGAGATGGTGTAATTTATAACTTCATATAGGTAGGTATATGTGCTCTTCTATAACGACGTCTTTAGAGGGAACCCACGGCTCCTGAACTTATTTCGTCAAATGCCTACATTACGTAGAAATATACTGCGTACCTAACCTAAGGTAACTTTATTAACAAACTTTTGGCCCCCTTTGCCTTCTCTCTCCTATCTTACATTCTATTACTGTCGTATCTACTGCTGTTAGCAAAGATAGAAAGAGAAATGTCTTGGGTAGAATGTGCTTACCTCGCTGCCATGTTCGTACGTTCGTGAGGGTATGCCCATTTCCTAATTTCCGTCCGAAGAAGTGACGAGTGCACGTATCCCTTCGGATCCTCGCGAAGCGTGCTTATAAGCGCGCACCCATTCATTCATTCATTCATTCATACCCGTTCTCATCCCACGATCGCACTTCCACCTACACGCTCACTTCCACGCGCCCGCGCGCCTCATAACCTCCTCGAACTCGGCCCTCCCCACGCCCTTGCCCACGCCCGCGCCCCCGTTCGCCTCCAGAATCATGTCCTTAAGCAGCTGGTCGTCGACGTCCTGCTTGAGCGTCATAGCAACGCGGCGGAGATGCGACAACGTCAGCACCTGCTCGTCCGTGCCTCCGCTGTTCCCACCACCACCACCGCCGCCGCCGCCTCCGGTAAACAACCGAAACGCCTCGTCCACCTCCTCCGCCGCGGGCCCGGAGGACTCCCGCGCGTGCAGCTTCAGCGCACACAGCGCTACGAACGGCTCGTACGCCGCGTACCCCTCGTCGTCCGGGTCGAGGATCTCGAGGAATTCGGCGAGCTCGGGCTTGCTGGGGGGAAGGCCTAGGGCGCTGGGGGGTGGGGGGGGGCGTGTCTTGTTAGTTAAACCCTTATACGGTAATATACATAGGTAGCCTAGCAGAGTAGGATGTAGAGGCTTTTGAGGGTGATGGGGGAAGGGAACCTACATCATAGCCCGCCGCACGTCCTTAATCGGTATGACGCCCTCCTTCTCGCCCTCGGCCGGCTCCGCAAACAGCGCAAACGCCTCTTTGATCTCGCGCTCCTCGCGCGCCGAGATGTTGTGCTCTTTAGCCAGTTTGGACTGTTTCTCTTTCGGCGCGGCGGTGGTGGTAGTGGCGGCTTTGCGTTTTGGCGGCTACGTCACTAATGATTAGCTTGATGATGGCGGCGGCGGCGTTGTTTGATATGACTTACCATGGTCCCGCGTATTGGGAAAAAGCGACCCTGGTTGGGTGTAGTATGAAGAATAACAGCGACGTAATAGTATGGTAGAATATGTAGGTATATAGACGTTGAATTAGGTAATCTTGAATTAGCTTAACCTAGAGGTGTTGAAGCTTACCTAAGTTTAGGTACAATACATACCTACACCTATGTGCCTATGCAAAGCTTTATGCAACCGGTAGGTAAGGCTTCAGCCCGGTCCACATTTAGCCGGTTCGGTTAGGTGCGGCCCGCCTGCCCGCTTGAAGTCTAGGAAGAGACATTGTATAGAAACTTAACCTAGAATCTTAGAAACTCTTTTTTCTTCCCTTTTGGGTCAACTTTCTATTACTACATGTACCTGGCTATGCGACATCACACCACAAGTACATAGTGCTGGGAGCTCACCTTCAAATGGTCTTGTGAGGACGGGACAGTCAAGAACAGGACCACAGGGCATACAAGTTGATGATACGAACAAAATATTAGTAAGAGTGACTATATACGTAGCATATTACCATATCCCCATATCCCCATATCCCCATATTCCCATGCCTTAATTTACAAGCCAGGATTTGCTGCTTAGTAAATATCTAACTTAACTTAACCTACCTACTTCCGGCGGCTTAAACCTCGCAACTAGGCCGTCAAGCTTGCTGCTCCATTCTATCGGCAAGGCCTTATATATGCCCCTGACCTGCAACTCGCCAGCTCGGCCGATCATCCATATGTGTTCGAAGCCTATCCACAGGGCCATAAAATGTGCCAGTATCACCATAGCTCTCGGTCTCCTTTCCTCTACGAACTTGGTGAACTCGGCGGGCACGGTAACAGCAAAGCGGCCGAACCTCCTTACAACAGCAAAATCTCGTTCACCATCGGCCACTGCTTTGTGTATGGTGCATATGTACGACATAGCGCTTTCGTATACCCACCTCACGTTTTCATCGTCTAGTTCGTGGTCCTCTTGCGCCGCAATTGATCCCGGTCCGGCCGGATGTTCTAGGAGCCAGTCGAGCGAACTATGATCATAAGTAATCAACTCCTTATGATTACTTAAATCTGGTGGTCCTTTCTCAAACGCCGCAATCCTCTGGGCGTGCTCTGAACCCAATTTTTCAGACAAACTTAATATATCGCCAGCTCCGCGTCCCATCTAATATATGAAAACATTTCGTGTCAGCTTTGTAACCTTACAATTCTAGAATCTTTACCGTGTTCGAGCGAGTCGAAATAATAGGGCCATCACACTTACTGCTAAACGTTAGCAACCGTATTTCGAGACTATTCTAGAAAGGGGGCTCGAAAATAGCAACACGAGATGTTTTCATACATACCATGCAACCACTGGACCGGGGGCTCCCAAGGATCTACGGTCATTGTTTGAACCAGGCCTATCGAATGTGCCACCATCCGAATGCTAGTGAAGCAGACGAAGAGAGCATATTGAGACATCCCCACCAATAAATCGTCGATATCGCGCCGCTGTTCCCTGATACACATGATCTGGTAAACCTGTTGCAATTTCATAAGTTCGATTCGCTCCTTTTCATCCGTGCTTTCTTTCCAGAGGTATAAGGCCGAGTTAGCAAACATGACGTAAAGCAAGGCGGATCGATTTTGCTGAACCGCCATGCGCGTGGCTAGTTCGGGGATTTCGTGTTGCCACATGTGCGCGATCTCCTGGTTTTGAGGTATAGAGAACGGTTGCGACATGTACGTATAGTAATTGTATAGTAAGCGTAGTTCCCAGAATCGTCGCCATGGTCCCTCGGGTAGGTTGATATCGACATCTGAGCCGTTATCCGTAGGGGTAACATAAGATGAAGACGGCGAGGAGTAAAACCCTGGGCCATTCGGCGAGTACACCAGCGGCTTGATTTCGTTGCCGAAAAGACCTGACGCACTATTCACTGGCGACTGACGTGAAACGTCGTCGTAAGTAGGTGCTAACTTGCTGCTGGAAGCTGTGGAGTGACCGGGTGGCCTACTATCATGCCGGGTAACCGACGTTGATCTCACAGAGGCTGTTGAAGATGCCTGGCTCGTAGTCAAATACACGCACTCAACCGCATGTCTTGAGCAAGAGCCACAGCTTGGTCGAAGTTCATCACACTACAACGGGAAGTTAGGAATACGTTCTACGAGATGTACTTGTGGCCAAGAGAACCCCTGAGCCGGAAGAGGGTAATGGGTTAATAGGCGAAATGCGCCGTAGTCTCTTAACTAACCTTGACTCGTCTCTGCTTACATCGCGTACATCCGGTACGAGACTTTTTATGATAGAGCCGCGGACCGCGTGGCTTGTGCTCTTGCGTGCCACTGTCGTTCATACCGATAAGATCGGAGTAGTTTCGAGAACGCTCGTGGTACTATTACTAGCACCAATAATGTCTTTCAGCTTGGTCTTGCGTCTTCGCTGGTTCATCGTAGTTATGATGCCAGCCTGAATTGATTTATTGCGAGCCTGAGGCTATTCAACTGACGATGCCGACTAGAGATGGGGGGACATCCATCAGCATGAATCCGTCTGGATCGATCGAATGGACCGATCCAAATGCGGCGCGGCACAGCGCGATAAGCCGGTTTGCCACAATTCATCTTCTTATAGGCCTGTGGCTACTGTCGCATTTACCTAGGTGTAGGTGGGCCAGTGCTAACTTCATTCGTCCTTGGAAAGACTGTTATATGGAAGAGAGAGAGATCGAGTATATGGGGGATCAAGCAGGCCTTTTATAAGTCTATTAAACCTCATAAGATCTCATAAGATCTCATAAGATCTTGTAAGAGTAAGGTTGTCACACCGAAGCTAAATCTCCGAACCAAACTACTGGGTCTTTTGTTCCCAATGAACAATAACGGCATGTTCACCCGATCTCAAAGTGTATGGGGATGCAGATTTGTGTAGCGTTGGAAGCTGGAAACGATAGCGAATGCGATACCCGATAATCAGATACTGCTTACATAGTATTATACCGCTTGTTACCTCTGCTACGGTTTATGATAAGTACCTACGTATTTGGTGGTGGCTGATTAATATGCAATCTTAAAAACACCCGAACCCATTGGCTTATGGTTACGATAAGATGTGTTGATTAATTTGGCTTTTACGTATGTACCTACATACACAACGTAGCACAGGCGGGTACTACCGTATGTGCCGTATGTGTGACGGGAAAGTTAGTGGTTAAGAGGTTTGGAGTTGTGGCTTGGATTGTCTCAAGGCTGCACATGTATGGTTTAGACCCGACTGCCCGCCCGCAGTTGCGGGTATTCAGCTGTCAGGGAATTTCAGGGCAGGCACCTATCAATAACCCGGCTTTTGCTTGTGAAACTCTATTCCTCGACGACTTGAAGACTTTACCACTTTACCACTTTACCACTTTACCACTTTAATACTTTACACCATTTGTCCACTCCTTTTTCGATAAGCTGGTACCACCAATTGTATCTACAATTGTATCTACAATTGTCCTTATTCTCTAGCAAAATAATCGATAGTAACAAACAGACTCCATTTTCCATTTTCGTAACGCCGCGGCGCCTAGCGTAATCCTTTCTAGCTGACAGGTTCCGATAAGTTTCAACCCGATTGATCTGCTGCTACTGGGACACAACCCTATACTCTGTGAGATGCCCGAAAGGGTTATGCTTCTAGGATGCAACTTAGCCCATTGCAATCGCGGCTGGCAGCATCTCTGGTAGCCTCCTGCCTTTTGCTCGTTATCTATGTCATTCTACTCTCTCCACAATTCGCCCTCGCTGTCGAGTTCGATCCTGTAATCGCCGACCATGACGTGCACGAATTGTCATACGAAGAGCTCGATGTTGTGGATATATCCGAGGCCTTAGACCTTAGAGGTCCAGCGTACGAGCCAGACTTTGCGCTATTCGACCGAAGCATCATAGGAAGGGTACCAGGTAGTGCGACTGTCATGGCCAACAATGAAATAAAAAAATCCAATCTCGCCCCTGGCGCTACGATGGCGTATGTCTTCCAAGCTTCGTCAGTCACTAGCAGAGCAGCGAGGGACCCAAATGAGTCGCTGGAGCTTCGAAGAAGTTTGAATGAATCACAAGCACCGGCTGTGGATAGGGACGAAGATCAGAATGAGGATGGCGGTACTATCATTAAGCCAGAACTTACACGTCGGAAAGAGACAACTGAAACAACTAAAGCAACGACAGCAGCTAAAACGTTGTGGATATCCGCGAATACTTGCCTGCAACCTGGGCGCCGTTCATCAGATCGAACAGCTCCGGATCCTCCGCAACTCACTCTTTACGTTTCGACATCGCCTGATAATACTTCTCCGGGGCCGCAGCAGAGCAACAATACACAGAAAGTCATCGCTTTTACGGAGGGGGCTGTTATGTTCAACACATCTATAGACAAGGATGTCTACTTGAGCATTTCTGCCCCAGACGTCTCGGCCGAGCAATTTGATACTTCACGCGAATATAATTTCGAACTCGTCGCTTCTACCGATCAGTATTACTTTTCGTTTCACGGTAATCGTACCGATCTTGATCTTGTATGGGTTGACAGCGACGCCTCGGCGGCTCTACTACAAACCGGGTTTCTGAACAATGTGACGAGTCAAGTGATCACGACGCCACCGTATGTCATGTTCGCACATAACGACAACAATGTGGACATCAAAGGGCTACGTAACTCTTATTGCGGTTTAAGTTCGTATGCTCAGATTAGGTATCTTGCAGATGGAAGTAGCGGAGCGATGACGGTAGGGTTGAAGAACGGAGGAGAAGATAATTTGACCCGGCAGGAGTTCTACGTTAGTGGTCTTAATGCTAGCTCTAACTACACAGCTATCCTTGCTCGTCCGCCGGTGAAGAGTCTCCAAACGCGCCAGGAAGAATCTTCGACTATAGGTGGTGGCGCCATATTCCGACCGACTGTTTTTTCAACCAAACCTAGTAAGTACAGCATGAGTTCTTGAGTGATAAGACGCTGACAAGAATGTAGATGGCGCATGTACGTTTATCTTCAACCTCACCTTTTGCGAACAAACCCAATATGCTGTCCCTGGGAACTTGAACACGTTTCCCAACGCTACGGCTCTTGGAAATTTTTATGATGAATACGTACGGTCTATGTGGGACAATTTCGATAAAGTTCTGCAGCAGACTCCTTGCGAGGCTGCTTCAACTGCCCGATACTCGTTAGCCAGGGGCTGCGAGGATTGCAAGACTTCGTATAGGAGATGGCTCTGTTCGGTGGCAATTCCTCGTTGCGAGGACTTCTCAACACCCGACCGACGCTTCCTTCAAATGCGCAATATCGCGGCTCCTTTCCCAAATGGAACGACGGTGGATGAGGAGATATTGAAGAAACACGGGGATCACAAGGCTTTCAATTCGTCTCGTAACCCTAAGATTGACGAAGTTGTCCAGCCAGGCCCGTACAAGGAGTTGTTGCCCTGCGAAAATTTGTGTTACGAACTAGTCCAGAGCTGTCCGGCTTCGATGGGATTCAGTTGTCCTCGACCGTGGAGCAAGTTTAGCTTCGAAACTAGCTATGGACAAAAGGCGATGGACGATAGTTTGTCGTGTAATTACCCCGGGTCTGCGCATTTCATAGGAGGCGCAGGCATGCTTTCCCCCTCTTGGGCTGGTCTTGTCGGCGTAATTGGCATACTTTTAACGACACTTGTATGAGAGTCGGAGTTTAGGACTTAGATTTGGGCGCCTAGGCTCGGGTTGGCTCGCGATATTGAAGGTCATGTTTCACGGGGAGCAGGCGAAAGGCATCGCATAAATGGCATCGCATGGGCGTTTTTGGTCGATATCATCTCATATTTCATTTCCAACAAGGATACTTGACACTTTCACACTACCGTCAAATATACAGGCCGTGTTCGCGACTGCGCGAATTATCAAGCTACCTTTACAGTGTTAGATATTTGCATCGTGACGTGCTGTATGTGTTCTGTTCACCTACCGTGAAGGCTCCCAAATAAGCATAGGTCGTCGTTCATACCCGGCTAAGAATAACAGATCTAATGATTTCGTTGTCGCAATTCCACGCCAATGCCATCACTACCGCGGATAAGTCCTCGTCGGCGAGCTTAGCGCGAGGATCTCTATCTTACGGTAAAGACCTAGCACATGGTTACTTCTGCGCCTTCTCGAGCTGCTCTATCCTGGCCTCGAGATCGGAGATGGTGGCTGCGGTTTACTCATGTTAGCTCGGCGGGGTCGACGGGTAAGTGTAAGGGTACGGCGCGCGTGCCTCGAATCTCGGCCCGGGTCTCGTCCTGCTCTAGGCGCGTCCAGAAGTAGTAGGCCACTTGGTATGTGAAGACGGCGACGAGGAATACCTTGGCGATGGGCCGCCCGAAGGTCTTGTAGAATTGCGCCTGGGAGAGGAGAGGTCAGGTGAGCTTCTCTTCTCTAAGGTGCGGGATAAAGATGGTACGCTTCCCCTGGGAAGAGAAGGGAAGGGGGGATGGTGCTGACATTTGGAGACGGGGCCGCTTGTCCTACGGGCGCGGGTGAAGACGAGGACGAGGACGAGGACGAGGAGAAGCGTGCCTGTGGACGCTGCAGTTGTTGGAGGGGGGTAGGATGGCGCGCTGTGAAGGTGCGGAAGGGCGCGAGGTGTCTCGCCGTTCGGGGGAGCATCGTTAGTCGAGGTCGCTAGTTTCGAAAAGACCTAACTATGGCCAGTGTGAGTGAGGAGAAGGATGTTGCGTAAATTTAGTATTATCTGAAGCTTAAGTTAAGGTCCGTTCGAAGGGACGGAAGTTCATGTATGGAAGCTTCTTCAATGGAAGTACATAGGGCTGTTACCCCACCAGCAGTGGCTTGAGTGGAACCTTATTCTTAACCCCCTGTCTGGCGAGGCTGCGGTTGCTGATCCACTGGGGAAAATATACTAGCTCTAGCCCGTTGGGGTAAGTAGCAGCAGCGGTCGTATCGAAACGGGTAGGTACCTAAGGTCCCTTAACTTTTGTCGAACGAGTGAGCGAGCTACCTATTCCGCTATCGATAAAGGGGAGGTAGGTACCTAAACTTACAGACACCATGTCCATACGGGAAAGTGAATACATCTCCAACTTGTTGAGCTTGAACAATCTGTTCTCAGATCCCACTGGAAAAGACTATCGCTTTGTCCGTTTATAAATATTTAAACTCGCGCGTTAGGCTTGGGGTCTGGCCTCGTCTTTGACGTCTGTTTATTATTAATTGTAGCATACCTACCTTTCATATAACTATAACTACCTCTTCAATTGATCGATACCATTCCCTCGGTTCCCTTCCAACGTTCGAGACCGAACTATACATACCTACCTCTTACATACCTCTATTTCGGCTTTCTGCCTGTCCCTTTGCAACTTGCCAACCAACCAACCAATTAACTTCTCCTCTTTCTCCTCGTCTACCCCTATACACACACACACAATGGTATGTTTCCAGCATTTTGCGCACCGCCGAATACGCTGCTAATTGCGAGTCGTAGGCCCAAACTCTCGAGCAGCGAAGGCGAAACGCCAAGTTCACCAAGGACCAGAACGCCCGTCGCGGCAAGGCGGAGACTGACATCAAGAAGCACACCAAGGGCGTGCAAAAGTCGCCTATTTCCCCCTTCTGGCTTGGTAAGCTATATTTGTCCATGCGGTCGTCGCGTTACGTCCTACGCGAGGGAGCTAACCATGTCTGTCCTCGCCCAGGTATCCTCGCCTTCATCGTCTTCGGCGGTCTCATATTCGAGCTCATCTCGCGCATCTTCTTCCGATGAATAGTAGCAATGTCGTTGAAATGTGCGGATACATACTGCAGTTATCAAAGTAGAGTCCGGGTGAAAAGAGAGAGAGATATATATATATATATATACTCTTGTGGGGATGATCCGTGTAGTCGTGGTATAAGATGGAGGCGTGGTTAGAAGTTGGGAAGCTAGGAATGCTTACAATGTGTTCGAAGTGTATACGTGTATATCGTCTAGGAGATCGATATGATACCTGAGCGTTTGCTCTACAAGAACAGAATCGTGTTTCAAGGGAGGCCATATTTATTTTTAGACGCATTGCTAGATTTATGTATAATTCTTTAAATTCTATAGTAGACGGCCTAACTAACGTCTTGAATGCGAAGCCTACATGTAGGTACAGTACACTACGATTGAGTAATGATTACGTGTGATAAAGTCCTGTTTAATACATACACATGCTGAGATGTGTTCAAATGCATGGAACTAGCATTGCCAATATCTTAACTGACATTAGTTGGCATCAAGAAAGCAAGCTAGGCAGGCCTAGAGCTTGTAAGCAGCTCGAATCAGATGGTATAAACCTTGACCTTTCAAAACGCCGATTCGCATGAATACATGGGTAACTACGATGAATCACGCTCCAAGGCCCCTCTTCTGCCCCTGGCCTTCATTTTTCATCCTCATCCCCATATCGTACTGCCGCTCTAGGTCGTGTTGGACTCGGTCGATATACGCCTTTGACGTGGAGGGTGCGTTATGACCCCCTGCGTCTGTCGTACCGTTGGGTTTCTTGGCACCGAGAAGGCGGAGGAATTTCTCCTTCCTCTTGGCATCACCGTCTAGTGCTTGGGCGTTCCACTGCTCGCCGCCGTTAGTATTTCCTCCAGCTTCGACTGTGGTGGACGACACGCACTCCTCGGCCTGTTCCTTCTCCTTTCTCTTCTTCTTCTTATCCTTCTTTTCCTTTCGCGTCTCAACTTCTTCTTGAACACTAGCCTCCCCGGCGGCCTTCTCTAACTTTCTCTTCTTCTTCTTCTTCTTCTTTTCCTCCTTAGGTAGTTCCACACCACCCGCGACATCGGCATCGGATGAGTCGCTAGAGTCACGCTCATCTTCTTCTTCTTCTTCGGCCTTGCGCTTACGCTTCTCGGCCTTCTTCTCGTCCTTTTTCTTCTTGTGCTTCTTTTCCTTCTTGGGGGGCGCATCATCTTCACTGTCTTCACTGTCGTCACTATCTTCACTATCTACTTCCTCTGTTTTAGGACGCTTGGGCTTGCGGTCATCCAGAGGAATATAGTTCTCGTCCTCGGAGTCGGCTGCCATCTTCTCAACCTCACGAGACACCTTGTTCTTCTCGGCATCCTCTTTCTAATCATACGATCAGTAAATGATTATTGTGCTGTTAGCTAGATATCTTACCTCGCGCTGCTCGTCTAGAAGATCGGCACGGGCCTTGGCTTTCTGCGCCTCGGCCATTAGCTTAATAGCTTGCGCCTCCAATTTCTGAGCGCGTAGGCGTAATCGCTTGCGTCGCTTCTCTTGCTTGTGCGGTCGGTTGGCTAATTTCTTCAACTTGTCGGCTGCTTTGCGTTCAGTGTTCCATTTAGCAGCACGGCCGACGTTTGCCTTTCGCGCTTGCTTAGCTTCGGATTTGGCATGGCGCTTCTCCTTGCGGGCTTCGGATCTTGCGATTCGCTGCTCTTGTTGTCTCTTAAGCTTAGCCTCTGAAGTATGTTAGCAATCTACGTCTTGGGCGGTCATAACAGTGCCGTTCACCTTTGGCTTCGGCATCGCGACGAAGCTTCTCCGGGTCGAGCTTCTTCCAGGGAGCTGGATCGCTAGCTTCCATTCTGAAGGATTAAAATCTAGTAAAATGAATACTAGATTGAGATAGTGTTATTGGATAATACGGTGAGCCTCTAAATGAAATTCCGGAAACTCTGCTCAACCTGTTAGGTATTAGAGGTGTGAACCATAAAAAGATCTACTTAGCTGCAATTGACTTTGGACCCAGAAAAAAAAGTTGTCGAATTTGGAGGAATTCTGCCGCGGGGAGTACTTTGCCGATAAAGGGCGGTGTGAAAAAGTACCCAAGTACATCAGGTTTAGAGTTTGTCTAGTAGCTGTAGGTTAGCGGTAGGTTAGTTGTTAGTGTTAACTAAGGGAAGGTGGGTTCATCTTATATGTACATAAGTTAAGGTTGTGACCGCCAGGTTGAAGGGGCACTTTTTGGAATTGCACATTACATATACTTCATCAGAATCTCCCATGGCAGTCAAGCTGCTCTTTTCTCCAATACTACTCTTATATTTCTTAATTTCACAATAGGGTTACCTCATGTAGCCGTGTGCAACCTTACTAATTCCCCGTAGATCTACTATAACACCTTAGCTACAATGTCTACATTCAAGCGAGCGTCGCAATATGGCGCGACGCCCAAGGCGAGCATCTTAAGTACATTGCGAGCGACATCGATGTTAGATACGAAAACGGCTCTTCCAGCCGGTAAGCACGAAGCCTGTCCTTCCTATTAGCTGTGTAGGTATTGATCCTAGATGCTAGAAATCATTGTCTCTATACTCGATTACTTGCCGATACCAGACCTTCTTCGGTTTGCAAGGACGTCAACCCGAATGCGTGAAATGGTATACGATGACACGAGATGGGTAGCGAGGCTTAAGAGCATGGGATGCTGGAACGAGTTAGAGGCCAGGAAGAGATTTGAGGAAGCTGTGAAGAGAAAACGGGACGCTGCGGGGCGGCCAAATGCGAACGGCGGACCAAATTCGATAGCGGGTAGGCAGGTCAGCACGACGATATTCGATGCTGCTTTAGAAGAGGAACAGCGGAAAGCTCAAGAAGACAAAGCTTTACAACTGCAGGAATCGAGGCTCGATGGGTTCGAGACGCTGAGCTTAAACCAATCGCAGTCTAAGTCGCCCTACGAAGATCCAGATGCACTACTTGATATACTCAAGAATGTTAAGAGCATACGGGGCCACGCGAGGGAAGAGTATGGCAAAGTTTACGGGGCTCTAGCACCCTTTTATTTTGATCTAGCACGAGCAAAGAGCCATACCGAACCAATCGTGTTCAAGGTGTTTCGAGATCCAGAGAGGCAAGCGCAGATGCTGTCTAATTTACAAACCTTTAGCAAAAGTGACTGGACCGAGGGTTATATGCAGCGAGAAGCTAAACTCATTAATATGACAACACTCTTCGAAAGCGCAGTCTTGAGAGAGTTCGAGCAGGGATATGAGTTCTGGGATGTTGATGGCAGGATGAAGAGATACGCACATGTGCTGCATAATCTGAACGAGGGCAACGCGGCCATGGACCTCTTCATTCACAAGCATCCAATTCTCAACGACCGCGGAGTTATAGGTAATCCGATGGATTGTATCAACCAAGCTCCCCAGGACAGCATTACTCTCGAGCCTTCCCGTGCTTTCTTCGATTCGCTTGTTAAGAAAGTAAACGAGCAGGGCGACGTGATTGGCCGCATCTTCCCTCAGCCAGCAACCGTCTTCTGGGTCTTCGTGGACAAAGTTCGAGAAGAAATCATCATGGAGTATGTTACTCCCCTATTAGACGAATGTCATGATCGACACATGCCATCCTACCTAAAGGCGGTGTCTGGCTTATTCGAGCAGTGCATGGAATTTGTTCGGTTGCTTGTTCCACCAAAAGATTCTTCCGAAAAAAGTTTAGAAGTCCATGCAAAAGAGATAGCTCTGAGAGTGTTTGAGCCACACCTGGATTTGTACTTGCAAGAGGAGCTGGATAGTTTGACAAAGCATGCTGAACGCGAAGTCATAAACTGGGAGCAGAAGCTTTCGGAGCAAGAGGCTACCGTCGAGTCGTTTTATATGGGCAATTTTAATCGACAAGCTGACAAAAACGACTTCCTTAGTTCCTTCAAGAAAGTAGTAATGATGCCAGTTACAGTCTTACCTTTCGGGAATACCAAGGCAACTACAACATCAGCCACCAATAGCACCACACTTCGACCATCGCTGGCTGGTACACCTGCATCATCCCGCCCGCAAACGCCTGGGGTTGGCGATGCCTCAGAACGGACCGCGAGCCCGCTACCCCCTGAAGCACCCACCGATGAACTCAAGGCGAAAGCTGCGCTCATGGCGAACCGGCTTGAAGGGATCAAAAGTCTTTTCAGTATCGAGGTCGCTCTTGATTTAGTGCACGCTGCGAAAGAAAGCCTTGGAAGAGCAGCGAAGTTTGTAACGCTCGGTGGTCAGGCGGGCGAAGAAGCTCGAGAGCAATGCGAAGCAATGTTCGTTGTCCTAGTCAAGATCCTTGGTCAGACACATGTTAAAAAGGGGTTTTCGAAGGCCGTGGAGCATCTTTCCCGGTATAATCCTCGAGAAATAAGCGATCATAGCCAAACTGGAGTGGTGCCGCTCGTCATGTTTATCGAGTTGGTCAATGTTGGCGATATCATCTCACAAATGGTTGACGTATTTTATGAGCAGCAACTTGCTGCGCCGAAAATTGCCGACCGAAACGATTTCCTCGATCCTGCGGGCCTAGCGAAAAAGAAATTCGAGCAGATGTTGGACGAGAACGTTGCGGCAGGTCTTAACAAAGGCATCGACGTGTTGATGGACGAAGTCGAATATCTCTGCGCTACAACACAGCTACCTACCGACTTTAATCCGTCGCCCTCCACGCAAGATGTTGGGGTGTCTAAGGATCCTGATATAGGCCCAACCACAACTGCAAAGCGCATCACCGAGCTGGTAGCTTCTCATACTCGGATGCTAGTAGGGAGCACGGAGAAGACCATGCTGGACGTGTTTAACGGCGAAGTCGGGCTGCGTCTATTTACGGCCGTGTGCAAACATATCAAACGACAGCGTATCAGTACCGAAGGTGCAATCAAACTCATCGCGGATATGAACATGTATTTCGAATATATCCGGACGCTCAAGAACCCAGATCTACTAGCATACTTCAAAGCCCTACGAGAACTAAGCCAGATATACCTTATCGATGCTAAGCATGCCAAAGAAATGGCGATTATCATAGCTGATGGCGACCGATTCGGCGGCATATTTCGTGCCGAAGAAGTATACGAGTTTGCCGAAAGAAGAGCCGACTGGTATCAGGTCAAGAGGGACGTAGAGAGAGCGATGTACGGACTCGAGTGCCAAGTCATGTAGGAGTGGTGTGTTTCGTCGCTTGAAGCCTAAAAATCCACCGCCTTACATTTTATTTGCACTGGTCAAGCTAGTAGCTCCAGCTACAAGCTCCAGCTACAAGACGAGTTGTTCTTGTGAGAACGTCCATCTTGAAGAACCGAATACATCTGCATCGATGACCCTGTGGCTTGGTCACTAATCGAAAACACTTGAAACAATCAGAACCCGGCCTCATCTCATACTGAACTTTTAAAGTTCCAACAGGTTCAACGAATTCATATCCCGGCGGCTAGAAGCGAACCATATCGTCGGGATGATACATGCATCTTGGATGCTACATACTACCATTGGACTGGGTAGCAGATCTGCCACCGACATTTCGGGTACTACAAGTGAGATGCCGGCAATAGGACGCCATCTTATATACCGTCTCTGGTCAATTATATTTCGAATCTTACCCCATGATCGTACTCAGCCCTATAATAACGAGTAGTTCTGCAGCAGAGGTAAAAGAGCGGCACCCAACAAAAAGCCCATATAGTTATTATTGTCGGGGTTTGTGTCGCAATAAAGCGGTATGATGCCCAATGAGCTAGACAAAGGAAACTACTGCCATTACTTTTCTCGTAACCTAGTTCCCGTTGCCAGTACCGCGATGACCCAAAGCTGACAGGCCCGCCATATATGTACTCGGCGGCCATGCGAAGAGAGCTCGGTATTGGGAGTATCACCTATTATACTAGCTAGGAACGGGCGGCTACCATACGTGCCTAAGCCCAAGGGGCATAGGTATTCATCCTAGTTGTTTCATCGTCTGACTCATTGGTACGGGACGTCGGAGTAGCAGATGAATGATTGGTCTTCTAGCTAAGCCTGGTATTACTTACATGGCTTGTTCATGTAATATGTTGATTAACCATTGGCCCCTTATATTGCAGGACGGTTTGAAAATATGATATTCGACCTTGGTGGACAGCCAAAGCACCCGAGAATTCTGGAAAGGACCAAACATTGCACATTACGGGCTGTGCGTTGCTGACGAAACCAAATTTTAGCATCTCACCGCAAGTCAGGTGTGGTACTATGATAGACGTTCTCCGCGGTATAGAGCTCCATCCCTTCGCAAACGGAGACATTTTATTCAAGGTCTATTCTTAGCTAATCGACGATATCCCGGTAACATACCTATACCCTACATACGTGAACTGCAGGTCTTCGCGAGGCATACGGCGCCTCGGTCAATAATCGTATTGCAGGTGTAGGGGTAGTTATACATACTCTCCTCTCCTTGTTCGGCGTCGCTTTCGGCGGCATACTTTAGTCGCTCACGAATAGTGACTAGGATATGATGTCCGTCATGTTAAAAATCCTAGAGGTTAAATGGGCAGAAAGCACGGCTTTCGTGTTGCCAGGGCAAGCGAGGCTAAAAAGAAAATACAGTCATCTCGCAGAATGCAGTGTGGCCACACATAGACACACACAGACACACATAAACATCATAAACATACACTACACAAGCACACATAATCATACATAAATATACATGTGTACATAGCCTATCGAGTTCTCGTGTTAGGTAATGCACGGAGTCCGTCAAGCTCCCGGATCTAGATCCAAAGCGTCCCCTCTTAGTAATTACGCATTCTAGAAACCCCTGTCCCATAAGGATTCTTCCCCACTCACCTTAAACTGCTGGGATAGCGGACTTTGGTCTGAGCCTGAACCCGAATACTATGTACGAAGTAAGGTCTACATACGGGTATGCAATTGGGGCGTAGCTTACCCTTGCACTATGTATCTGGCAGTCTGGTACCTTTTTTTTTCCGACACCCATGACGATCTTCCTGTGAAGGCACGAATGCGGCAATTGATCTACCTTCTAGACAAGGTCCACGACGTCTTTAAAGAGGATAGGACATCAGCAAGTTTGGCTCGAAGGATTTCAGCCACACGAGGGTTAGTGTCGTGACAGTTAGTCCTCATGTAGGTACACTACACTAGAAAACACTAACGCCCGGACCGTCACCGTTACTAGTCGGCGGAATCCGAAATATGGCTTAAAAGTGAGATAAGCTTTGGGTAGTCGATGGGTTTATGTCGGCCGTCTTGTTGTTCAAACTTCACTTACAACCAGCATCACGGGACACTTGAAGACTCACTAGATATTATACACTTGGCACAGCACGGCATGGCATGAGACACAGTGGAAGCGGTATAGGAAAGTTAAGCTAGGATACCGAGTGTGTGGGTCGGCGTAAGAAGGTAAATCATGGCGACCCCTATCCTAGGTTATTCCATCCCGTCCCGTCCCAGTCCCAGTCCCGGTCCCAGTCCCGGTCCTGGTTCCAGTCCTGGTTCCAGTTTGTGACACAGGTATGTAGGTAACCTAGGTAGGTGTTCTTCAACCCGTCAGACCTCTTATGTATGTATGTACATATGTACTATGTATCTTCATCTAACGCCGGGTTCTTATTGGTTTAAAGCACCTCTTAACCTCCAAGGAACATACCAAGGAACATGGACGTCGTCTTCGCAATACAGGGTTCCCCGTCCGTTTTGCTCCCCCACAAGACGAGACCAGCTACATTGTAAGTACTTCGTAGCAATACTTGACCACCTCTTTCGCCGGAATTCACCCAATTTGACCGGTGAATCTGAGGAATGACGGATCTAACCACCTGCTTGGCGACGCAATCATATGCATACATATTACTACGTAGGTCCCTTTCATTAGATCCCTTTCATTATCTAAGGTACGGTACTTTTACATATCTCATTCCCCACCACCAACACAACCATATACATAAAAAGCGAACCATTCATAAATGCCAAGAAACCCCAACACATGATTGGTCTGAGCGAGAATCGTATTCCTTTTTAGAAAGTCGAGATTAGCTAACCGTAGCTCTCTACCCTAACGACAATTCATAATTCGGGATATGATATCCCGGACCTCAACAGCTCGTCTCTGACCCTCGACTAGGATGACTACCTCAGGGTAATGAGGATGACCAGGATGGACGGCTATGGCCTGTGGTCCCGATATGTCGGCTTTCAGGGCTTCCTAGTTCCAGATGCGGGCGATGCAATAGTTCCGTATGGCGATGGATGATGGATGGATGATGGACGATGCACAATGCCACCCCCCATTGAGAATAGCTTCTTACCATAGTAGCTTATTAGTGGCCTCATACCTGACGATGTCTTTCTTCCCTTACTACCTTACTACCATGCTACCTTACTACCATGCTACCTTGGCACAATGCTGGCGTGTGCAGGGAAGTCCTGCCTGGCCAAAGCTATCAGCCTGCGCGTCATAGTCGGGGTTGCAGCAGTGGCTTGAGTCCAGGTTGCTCTATTGCTCTATCGCTCTATCGCTCTACATAGTATTGTTACCTCGCCGATAGTTGCATACTGCATGCTATTGCTATCGTCACGTTTGCTTGCACGTAGCCAAGTAAGTAGCCCACTCGAGTGGATGGAATCGAGTGGATGGATATAGACAGACACCATAAGCCTCAATGGTCAATAGCCATCCCGCAAGTCTGGCCCGAGCCTCGCCAAAGGGTACCATAAAGATTCCATGGTCATCTCATGTAAGTCATCAGCCTTATAAGTGGTTTTCAACTTGCATTCCGTCAACCCACCAGAACGGCCCCCAAACCCTTCCATACAGTCTATCTATGCCAGTAGTCACTGGCCGTGCATTCATATTACCTGCCTACCGTATCTATATCCCGGGGGTTATATATGTCAAGTACCGGCACACGCCAGTCCGAAAAGGATCCGGCACCCATCTTCCTTCCCAACCAAGCTTCTCTCATTGATAATTCATTTCTACTCGACTCCATTAATATCAACCTTAACTCTTAGCCGAATATAAGCGAGCATCACGAAATGCAATACTGATTCTGACACAAGGACTCCTGCCTGTCGTCCAAGACTCGAAAGGCACAACTTGAAATTACCTATATTATATTAGAACATAAGCGTAGGAGCGAGACAAGATGGATCCATGCTCATCCAAGAAACACGAATCGATTCCCAACAAGTCGCCCAAGCCTAGGTCCAGGCTTTCGGGAGACGACTGGTCCGAAGTTACGGAGCCCGAGGAGCGAAGACGCATTCAAAATCGACTAGCTCAGCGAAAATTCCGTACGCAACTGAATAAGCATCTCCGGTTTCAAGACAGACTAGACTAACAGCTTGAAATAGGAGAGAAAGTCAGAGAGCAGAAAGAAAAGGCAGAAAGGGAGTCGCGCAACTTAGAAAACGCAGCCAGCAGTTACCGGCTCCCCTCGTCAGACGAAATCGCAGCAGACGACGGCATAGACCTCTCAGGCCTGCCTTGGGGAAGCCTCAGCATGACGCATGTTCTAGCGAGGGGCTACGAGACGGAAAGCAGACGTAGCGGAGGCAGCTGCGACGGCGACGGCGAAGGCGATAATAACAACTATACCAACGAGGCGAGGAAAGACGACGCGGCACCGGCACAGTGCTACGCGAAGTCGAGCCCGCACCAACTATACCAGGTGGTTAACTACGGGAGCAGGAACTATGAGAGCAGGTCATACAGCAGCGGAGGCGACGATTTCGCATGCCAAGATCTGCCGACGTATTACTTCGACTTCGGTCTAAATAGCGGATATAGTCACCACCAGTATCATTACCGGACTTAGACGCGGAGGCGAGAAGGGGGGGAGGGAGCTGAGAATAGGCTGTCAACGCCTCTATTTCTGTCTTACTATTTGCTCTGCCTGTGGTGGCGGAGATCTTGGGTGGATTATGGATTATGGATTATGGATTTTGGATTCTGTTGGTCGGAGTACGAATGGATGGGAATGACAATTTTGGAAAACAACTATTAACGGACAGAGGAGGAGGGTTTGCTAGACAGCATTGCCGCAATGATTTCTTCTGGTTTGGTTTGCATTGATTTACTTTGCTTTTTATTTTTATTATTTATTTATTTTTTTTTTCTTTTCTTCACTTAACTATAACTATGTTCAAACTAACTACCTGATGTAACTTTATTACGGGTACGACGAGAAAAGGAGGGAAGTGAGATAAGGCGAGATATACATCAGGTGTAACGGTTCCTCTAGACAATGGATTAGCTATGTAACCTAACCTAACCTATACTTAGACTTGGACTTGGACTTATACCAAGGCGGCGACGACCTCTCTCACCGCGAGCCTCATCGTACGACACGATAACTATGGTGAAGCCCAAGCCCGTCTTGAGACATGCTGTCACAATAGAGGTAGGGTAGTGGTGGTAGTTTCAAGTTTCAAGTTCACGGCGTTGGTTTTGCTGTGCCGCTATGCTACATCTGCTGTGGCACGTACATACATGCGTAAACGGGGGTAGGGCATCTACATACATACTACTATGTAGTAAGTAAGTAAGTAAGTAAGTAAGCTATGTATATATTAGGTAACCTAGTCGGTTGGCAGGCCTACCTAGCTCGATCGAGATAGTCTGCTTCTGCGGTACGCAAGAGGATTCTCTGTCATCGGCTAGCCAGCCGAGGGGGGGTATTGGGGAATACATAAATAACAGGATAGCCATGCGTATCTATCTATCTATCTACATATGCAGGTATATATGTATGTATGTCTTACATACTTAGATATAGATGTAGATATAGATGTAGATATAGATGTAGATATAGATGTAGATATAGATGTAGATATAGATGTAACTGTATAAATGTATATAGATAGATAAAGAAAATAAAATCAAATACAAGCAAAACCTCCCTTGCTTTAGGTACGCAGGTAGGTATCTACCTTACCTACACACGCAAGGATCCAGGTCCAGCCGACAACAAACCAAACAAACAGACAAACAGAATGCTTCTAGAACCGCAATCCCACGTGCGCAACGGACGCCCCCCTTTCAGCCAGCCAGCCAGCCACCTCTAATATATAGGCGTGCACGACATGCTGCCCACGCGGCCGTAAATTAATCGGGTTCGACGGGGAGGGAAGGGGGTGCTAAGCCGACCGGAGCTGAAAGAGACGGGTGGGTGGGTGGTTACAGTGCAGTTTTGTGTACCTGGTAGTTATATACATATACATACCTACCTATATAGGTATATACATAGCTGATTTATATTAACTATAGTTGGTTAACTACCTAGTTAAGTAGGTAGTTACTTAATATAATAGGTGGGAATGTGTAAGTGTATAGTTAACTAAGTGTAGGAGTATAACTTACATAGGTAAGTAAATTCCCTACATAGGTAAATATGTGTAGTAATATCAGCCATCTTTACCTACCTACCTATCTATCCACTTACACACCCCCCCCCCCTCCTCGCTTACTCTTATCTCCATCTCCACTGCATCTACAACATCACATCTCGGACAATTCACCCAAAACAACAATCCCTTCCATTTCACACGTGCTTTTCATTTATTCTTCGTCTTCTTTCTTTCTTTCTTTCTTTCTTTCTTTCTTTCTTTCTTTCTTTCTTTCTTCCTTCCTTCCTTCTTACCCGCGCATATGTCTCGGGTATCCGTGTCCCTTTCACGTGGCCAAGTCCCTTCCCCTTTCCCCCTTCCGCCTTCCGCCTTCCGCCTTCCGCCTCCCCCCTTCTCTTCCCCCGCATGATCGACAAGCTGAAAACCTAAAACCCATTAACTAACTACCTACCTAGGCAAACCAAACAATAGGTACATACTACATACTACATACCACATACATAATAACCCAACTAACCTCCATACCTTACCTAAATAGAAATACTACCTACAGAAAAGCACGCTATTTAAGGTTAAGCTTAATCCCCTCCTTGCAACACAAGCTGCCCGTCAGCCGGACGTGCAGGTAGCCGGCCTTTCAGGGGGAAGGGGGGAAAAAGCTTGAAAGCTTGAAAGCTTGGGAACCTTATGCAGCCAAGACGGCAAGGGTTCATTCGGCTTCAGCTCTTCTTCCCTTACCTTCCTCTCTCTCTCATTCTGCTTTCTACTTCTACTTTTCAGCTCTGGAGCTACCTATTTTACCTTGCCTCACCTACGGGCCACATGCTACAACCATTCATCCCGTCTCCTTGCATGGTTACATTCCCACCTGCCTACCTTGGGGTGGTAGCCATTGTAAAATACACCCTACCTACGAACCACGGCATCAACCCACGATTCGCAGAGACAAAAAACCCCAAACCAGCCAAAGCTGAAATGTCGCTAATACCAACTAAGCTTCGTATGGTGAGGAAACAGGGTTAGGCAATATGCTTGCTTGCTTCCTTGCTTCCTTGACTAATTGATCAATTAGCTAATTACACAGTAATTACAAGCACAGACATCGTAGCATCGTATTATCATGACTTAACCTAATCTAACCTAGCAAACAAACAGCCAGCCAGCCAGCCAGCCAGCCAGCCAGCCATCGCGCCTCAATAATGCAATGCAATCCGCAACGCCCTGTTAGTATGTATCGTGTCCTGAGTTCCAAGACACTCGTGAACTAAACTTAGTCTTACATATCGTGTCGTATCGTCTCATGCCGGGTCGTACATACAGGGGTAATTAAGTGCTTACTTTATACATCGTCAAGTACCGGGGGGTAATCGCAGGGTCGGGAACCGATGGACATATTTACCCACCGAATCAAAACCGACACTTATTCCTGTTGTCGTCTAGCCTCTGCTGCCGCACCAGCAAGGAAGCCAATAACAGCAGCGTCCTTTATTCGCTCGTCGGTAGCGGCCTTGTTCCTAGTAACATGGCCAAACAAGCACTGCCAGAGGTCGTTCTGATCGACCACTTCTCCCATGCTCTGATCCTTGCTCATGAGCTTCGATAGCGTGGCCTGCTGGAGCTCCAGGGAGTTCGCCGCCTCGAGATTGAGGTCCGAAACTTCCGCGCTAGACTCTTTTTCCTTTCCTTTGGTGTTCTGGCCAAGGTGTTCTAGACGGCGCTGCACAGAAAGGTTATAGATGGATTCCTCCACCGTGCCGTCTATTAGATATAGCCATACCGTCGTCTCATGCTCCTGCCCAATTCGGTCCACCCGGGCGATCGCCTGCAGTTCCAGTGCCGTGTTGAGGAGGGGTTCGCACAAGAACACGTGGCTTGCGTTGACGAGGTTGAGACCGCTAGCGTGCGCTCTAGCATCCATGAGGAAGCACTCGATAGCGGGATCTTCCCTAAACGTATTAATACCGTTCTTCTGCTTGAAAGAAGAATGTCCGATTTGATATTGGTCGAAAGCTCGACCAAGGATCTCGAGAAACTCGCCGAACTGGGAGAAGATAACAGACTTGGCGCCCGGGTCTTCAACACGTAGCCACAGCAGATGCTTCGCTAGAGTATCGATCTTGGTAGCGAATGAAGGGCCGTTGAGATTGATAGTCTTGATGGCGTCGAGTTTATCGCTGCTGAATTCGGAATAGATACCCAACTTCTTGAACTTGGTAAGCGTGCTGGCCTCGTCCGATGCTTGCGAGCTCCCTTGCGGGTGTTCTTGGTGGAATTTCAACTCTTGCTTTTTCAGTGTAATATCGTGAAGATTCGATGACGAAAGCTTCATCTTGCAGACGGGACAAATGTGGGCTTTCTCCAACCAAGCCACGATACACTCCTTGCAGAAGTGATGCCCGCAGACAGTAAGTACTCCTAGAGTGAAAGTACACTGGCAGATAACACAGACTTCTTCTGACTTCTGACCCGCTTCTCTGAGATGAACGACTGTAGATCGAGTCAGTATAAATATAATACAAACGGAGTCGGTATATCTTAATTCGGGGGGGATCTTACGGTAACGATGCTTAGGCAGCGCTGCGGTAAACCTCTTCTTCGAGGTTTTCTCTCGCTCTTCTATCTCGTGCTCTCTCTCTTGCACCTCAAATTGCGGCTCATCCAAGTCCATGAATTGGCTTGCGTCGAGCGGAGCAACGTTATCAGAAATTGCCTGCAGCTGCTTGTAGTATTCCACGCGTGCATTCATTGCCGAGGTAAAAATGTCCAACTCTCGCTCTAAAGCTGTCGCCGCCTTGTTCTGCGCGCTGATTTGCTCTTGCGTCAGCTTTAGGTTCCTTTCGACGATTTCCAGCTCGACCCTCGCACGACTGCTTCCGTTGCCCATGTCATGGCGGAGTTTCGTTGCCAACTCTCGAAGATCCGTAACGATACCTCGGAACGAGGTTCCTTGATAGTACTGCCTGATTTCATCGCGTTGTTGAAGTAAGGCAAGAACTTTTTCGGGGGCATGGCCTTCTCCAGCCCTAGCTTGCCGCTCTGCGAAGCGAGTATCGTATTTAACTCGCTCGTTCTCCAGGCCAGACATCGCATCCCGTCTGTCAGCTATTACGGCTCTCAAAACTAGCGTGTGTACCATCAGCTCATCCTGGATCTTGGTTGAATCCTCGTATTCATCACCCGTGATCTCTACTTCTTCCTCTTCGTCTACAAGCGGCCGGATCAACATTTGAATAACGGTTTCCCGCCACTCGTCGATCAAATCTGCCTGATCATCGAGAGCCCCGGCGAGCACCTTGAAGTTATCCAAGACTCGCCTACTCTCTAGGCCCTGAAACGAAGGCAGTTCAACTTCGGGAACGTCTGTGAACGATTGCGACGACGCCTTTTCTCGAATCCTAGTAATGCAGGACAAAGCTTTGGCCCGCGCCTCGCGTAGAATCTCTTTCCGAATGTTCTTCGCTGCATCGTACCCGGAGACCTCCTTCTCCTCTAGTAGTTTGAATTCCTCCGAATTAGGAACTGTCTTCTTCTCGTCCGACTTTATCTGGAAATAGCCGCTAGCGATGAAGAAAACGGCTCTGTGGTGGATATCGAGCATAGATCGAAGTTTGCGCCGGCATTCGCTCACTTTTCCGAGCGCCATTTTCTCGTCGGTGTCATCATCATTCTCCATGTCGCTATTTTCGTCCTCCATGAGCGCATCACTAGAACCTGCTTGCTTAGCCTTTTCCAACTCGATTTGTAGTTGCTTTCGGCATTCTTCTTCCAGGACTTCGACCTCATCTACTACTTCCTGCCAAAGCTGGATGGCCGCGTTCACCTCGGACCGGTATTCCAAAAGCTGGCCTCTCTCTAGCTTGCTGAGTAAATAAATACGCTGCTCTGTCTTAATCGAAGAATCCGATTGCTCAATCATGGCTTCTAGAACCTCTTCAATTGTTGGCGGACCCTTGTTCTTCTGATCTGCTGTTCGAATAAGGCGGCCAGATCCGAGGGACGGGTGCAATATCGACTTTCTGAGCTGAGAGAGGGTACGTTTCATTGAATCAATTATCCACAGATTCTCAGGGTCCCAGTCTCTCTGAAAAGACGATCGAAGAGGCGACCCGTGCTCATCAAGGCCGAGCTTCATCACGAGTTCTTTGAATTCTGTCTGGTAATGCTGCTCCTCGACTGTATTAAAAGGCATGGTTATAACGTACCGTTTTTGAGGTGGTAGACTTAGCTCGCTTCTGACTACGCGCTTTGTGTGCCGCAAGGCAATGCTGTTAAAGAGAGGCTTGAATAGCTCCTTATGGGTCGATATTAGTCCCTCCCATATATTCAAAGAGGAGGCGAACGGCTCATATCGGAGAAATAGTAACAGGCCCCATAGGTCTTTGATGTTTGTCTTGACCGGCGTTCCAGTGATACCCCAAGCATTGATACGAGGTATTAGTCTGGCAACCTTGGCAGCGCTACTAACGCCGCTCTCGATTTGTTGAGCTTCATCTAAACATACTCTCCACCATGAGATCTGAGTCAACGGTGATTTGGGGCGGCGATATTTTCTTTCGTGTCGCATAGAGCGGTTGGGGGGCTCTGCCGCGTAATGGATCTCGGTCTGTAGGACATTGTAGGTCGTGATGACAACATCGTGATTTACTAGTTCGGAGACTAATTGTTGTTCATCCTCACTAACGCCCTTTTTTAGGCCCTCGTACACCATCACAAGGAGATGTGGTGCATGTTTCTTAAACTCAGAGACCCATTGGTTCTTGAGTGTAGTAGGAGTGACAATTAACGTTGCACCACTTGGTCGCTCATCCTGAGCTGTGTTGCTGTCCAAGTGCGGAAGAGCATCACGCCTATGCATGCAGATAAGGGCAATGGTCTCGACTGTCTTCCCCAACCCCATTTCTTCGGCAAGGATGCCACCTTTTACAACAGTTTCACTCTTACGGAACGCGCTAATATCTCTAGTAATGACGTGATAGAGATTGCTGATGTATACTAATCGCCCGTCTGCATCCTTTACCGTGCTGAATGACAATGGCAGGCTGTTGGTTGACGGTGGAGATAACGGCTCTAGGCCGGGCTCCCCATTTGGACAACGATCACTCCATTTGACACCTTCTCTATTCAAAAGCCATTGCAGTGCCCTACGTTGGAAGGGGAACAGCTTTGAGGTCAACTTAGGAGCTGAGAGGGGTAATGAGTTTACGGGATCCTTTTCCGGAACAAACGCTGCATCGTAGAAAGCCTGAGGTGAAAGCTTCTCATTGGCAGCACCCTGCTCTTGGGTTTGACCTGTAAAGAACGTATCTAGAACTTGTTGACTAAGAGCGCGCTGGGCAGAATTTCGTAGTAAATGGGTTGATGAATTCCAATTCAGCTGAAGGGAGAGTTGGAGTTGATCTCTGTTATTTTTTCTCTCCAGACTAACCCCGACGCCTACCCAAAGTGCGCCTTCATCACAGTCAGCGTCTCGGCTGCGGCTCATGATATTCAATATTGCTAATGTGCCCTTGGAGAATTCGTGGCGACCTAAGTTCAGTTCAGACTTAAATGCGCCATAGGGAGATCGCGCATTGGAGGAAATAGTTAAGATGCGCTGTCGTTCATCATGGTGTAGCTTCACGTGGTTGTTGACATTCACGCGATAGATTAGTTCATCAAGGGGCACTTCGGGTTGGACTGGTCGCTTGAGCGTTAATGATTCTCTTGCAATGGGAATTGCCTCGACGCGTTCGACTCGAGGGCGTTTTCTAGGGGGTTCAGCCTGCTCAGTTGCATCGCTGGAGGGGTCAGTTGCATTGCGCGAGGCACCATCGGACGGAAGCGCATTCAAGAAAGTGAGAAAATCCGTAGGAAAGGGATCTGAACAAGGTTAAGCAGTGTTATTTTAATATAATTCTATCTTCACATACCACTAGACCGCACTTGACGGGCCTGAACAGGACCATTTTGTCGGTTAACCGACGCCTTCGAAGCTTGTGATAAGCCCGGGCGCCCCATGGCATAAGAGAAGACAGGTGTGAATGCGATCACAAGAAATAACCTGCGAGGTTTCACAGGAATAACGCACAGGGATTTGTGTCAACACATAGTGGCGCGGTAGATTTGGAAACGTAGTTTACTTTGGGGGGAAAAAAGAAAGTTGTTGAGGCTGAGGGAGCAGGCAGACAGACAACCAGACAACTCGAGGGCCAACCGAATTACTTCATCGAGGGGCACAGCAACGGCTCTTATCCGATAAGAGCTACAACCCACTATTGACTCATAAGCGCAGTAAGGCTTACAGGAGCTAAGCCTAACTGCGTTACTCCAAATCCACATCCCGCATCCATGGGCGCTAGGGTTACACGGACCCATCGGAGGATACAAATTTCCCTTGCCGACTCTCCATTGAATTTTCAAGATCGAGCCTACCTACATGTAGGTATCTACCTATCTATCTACCTATCTGCTTAAGCTACAACTTGCGCCGTGGACATACTGGAATTGCAAAGTATCTACCTACCCATTATCTCGAGGGCATGGTCATCCGGGGACATCGTCTGAGGCCTGAAGACTAGGAGAGAGCGTGGTATATTGCCGTCAAAATGGTGCGCTTAAAGGTAAGTCGAACATACTACTACCTTAAGACTTATATATATATATATATATATATATTTACCTTACATATAACTATATTCAACTATTACCTACCTAGACATGCCATGCCATGACATGACATACATATCTAACTAACACACCGCAGCCTCTTCTCAACCCGCAACAACTGCGCACCGCCCTAGCGCCCACAACCCCCCTCGCAGCCCTCCGCCCCTCCATCCGCGCCTCCTCCTCGACCACGACGCGGCCCGCCGGCGCAATCCCCCCTCCCACGCCCTTCATCCCCGACGTGCAGACCTTCCTCACAGTCATCGGCCGGGGCCTAAGCCAGCACGCCTCCAAGTTCCCCACCTGGGACGCCCTGTTCTCGCTGACGTCGGACCAGCTGCGCGAGCTCGGCGTCGAGCCCCCGCGCACGCGCCGCTACCTCCTGCAGTGGCGCCAGCGCTTCCGCCAGGGCCGGTACGGCATCGGAGGCGACCTGCAGCACGTCGAGGACGGCAAGGCCGACCTGCGCATCCTCGAGTCCGAGCGCGACCCCGTCAACCCGCGCAAGTACGTGGTGAACGTGCCGCCCGGCCGCGCCGTCAAGGACTGCGCCTTGCACGACATGTCCCGCGTCCGCGGGTACAAGATCGAGGGCGCCAAGACCATCGTCGGCCCCTACGCGCTGCCGCTCAAGGGCGGCGAAGGCGTCCGCGTGTCTGTTACGGAGGGCATGTGGGAGGACCGCCGCGGCCACAAGATCGACGGTGGTGAGAGGAGAAGGACCGAGGTCCGGTACAAGAAGCGTATTGCCGAGCGGCGCGAGATGAGAGAACGGGGCGAGCTGTAGACGATGCATAGTGTAACTGAACATTAATTAAATAAAAAAACCCTCTGTACTTTATGTACCATAACCATAACTATAGCTACAGCTACAGGTTCTACACATGCCATATCGAATTCCGAACCATCATGTTGTAATTCGTTATCCTATAGTGCCCTATACTGTATACATTCACAAGCGCCTAACCTCTAATGCTTCATTTGTACCTCTAAACTCCCAAGCGCCAGACCGGTATTCACTGCAAGTCACCAGAATCGCTCCTTTGCCGCTTGGAATTCTATTTCGCCGCGCCGAAGTCCAGCTTCCGAGCAACTTTTGCCGTCTTATCGTCATCTATTACGCCAGGCCTTCTCTTCAAGTCCGCGCCGATTTTTTCCTGCCCGCCCGACTTCTTCGGTAAATCTTGCTTGCGCGTGGGTTTGGGGTCCTTATTCCACCATTCGTGCTTCAGCATCCCTAGGGCCGTAATGCGCTTCTTGGGATCGAGTATTAATGTCTTCATCAGGAGGTCGACACCTTCGGTGCCTACTGTGCCGAAGAACGACATGTAGTACTCCCTTCCCCGTACGGGGTGGATTTCTCCTTCCGTAGTATACGCCGGTAGCTTGGTGACCCCCGGCCAGTTCTCCTCCGTGGGCGTGCCGATGGCGGTGCAGATAAGACTGATCTGTCGCATTTCCGTATCTCCGGCGATATATGGCGTCCTAATTATCAATTCGGCGAAGACCAGGCCTACAGACCAGATATCTACTGCACCCGAGTAATGCTTAGCTCCATACAATAATTCAGGAGGCCTATACCATCGCGTGATGACGTTCGCGGTCATTAGCTTATAAGGATCCGAGAAGCTTCGGGCCAGACCAAAATCAGCAAGCTTCACTTCCCCGTCGGCTGCAATAAGCAAGTTGTTGGGTTTGATATCACGGTGCAGCACAAAGTTCTCGTGGCAGAACCACACCGCCCTCGTAAGCATGCCCATCCAAGCCTTAATGTCGGCCGCACCGTATCTGACGCGGTCGACGTCACGAATGAGCATTTCCAAGTCGCCGAGGGGGAGGTACTCCAGAACGAGATTGAGGTTCTGGTTTTTGGAAGAGAAGACGGAATGCAACGTTATTATGTTGGGGTGCGATAGCTCCTGTAAATGCTTGATTTCGCGGACGGCATCGGGCGCCATCCCTTCCGTGTACTCCTTCTGTATCTTGATCTTTTTTATGGCTACCAGCTTCGTCGGATCGCTTTTAAGGAACCCGAGGTAGACGTTGGCGTAGGTACCTTCACCGAGTTTCTTGCCTTCAAAGGGATCTCGAGTTAGCGCACTGCTCTTCTATTCCAAGCTATTCCAAGCTATTCCAAGCCATCCAATAAATCTCCGAACATACCCTTAACGTATTTGCGCTTCTCCTCCTCGTTAAGTTGTTCCGCCAAATCCAGAGAGGTTGCTTGTGCTGCTGCGACTACATTCGGCGCAGCTGTTGAGACCACGGGTGTTCCATTAGACGATGCATGTGCTGAAGTTACAGTCTTGAGAGGCGACGATAAAGATCTAGGGTTCGGCAGAGCATCCGTAGGATGCACGACCACAGGCGAGACCGCCATCGCGAAATATAATATCCTTCGCCCTCGGATATTTAAAACTGAGGAACAGAAGGTTGTAAAGGCAGAAGTAGCTCTTTGTCAGCCTTGGGAAGCAGAGACAAGGCTATGATTCTGAATACAAAGATAAGGTAGGGATTGGTTAAGTGTGATTGGTGAATGTTGATCTTGCAGATGCAAAGCGCTATGATTGGCTAGATAGCTGCTATATTCCCCATAGGTATTATATTTAGTTACCTTCATACGGTTTTTAAGTTCTTATGCACAGCCCGATTACTACTGCGAGCACAGCATGATGTGGCCCATGCGTGACTTGCTTATTATGGAAATATACGTACCTATCTTAGTTTAGTGTGCCTTCATTCCACGCAACTCTCTATTTGACGTCACCATTTCTTGATTTAAATCGCAAGCGGTAGATTAGGCGGTAGGAGCAAAACATCACATCTCCAGAAGAGCCCGGGTCGGCCTGTTAATTTCCCACAGACCCCGAGTCAGCTCATATAAATCCTATCATAGGTAGCTAAGCCAACCTCCATTTTTTACGCTAATGACGAATCCTGGCCTTGTTCTTTCCCGTAGGTCCCGAAGAGAACTTCTGTGGCGCCTTGATGTTCAAGTGAGTTTTATTTGTAGAATGAAGTCATACGTCGATCCCTTTTGAGGCTTGCTTTCATAGGGTTACTCATCATCGTCGTCAACAACGTGATCTTCTAGATCTTTTAACTAACTAGATCTTATACTTACGCGCAATCTTATTTTTCTGTTGTCGCAATTCATTGTCCTCGTGTCCTTTCATTGTCCGGGCTGTGTATCGTATTGTATACATTCTCTTACCTCTTTCGCTCGTTTATTATAAGGCTGCATTCCCTTATACCTACCGTATAATCACTTAGACATTGCCACAATAGAGGAACTATAGAGTATCACAAACCCTAGGAAATCAATACACGATGCGGTTCCTATCGTATTGGGTAAGCAAAATAAGCCTTCGATTATCTCAATTGACGTTTCGTACGCAGCTAACATTGTCGCAAAGGTGTTTCCCATCATATCCGGCCTCATGTGGCTGGCAACATTATTAGGTCTTCTTCTATATTGGATCATAGACACCGACCGAGTTCATTATGACTCTATGACGGACGACCAAACAATCGCGTATATATCAGACGTCGGCGCTTCAAAGCTCAAGCCGTTGTTCGTTACGGGATGCATCATCACCACGATATTTCTCGATTTATCCTTTGGGACTGACCGCTTCTTACGACATCGAGGTCGACTGGTGCCCAACACCTCTACTGGTGAAAAAGTGCTGAGCGGCCTGTGCATCGTCTTCGCCGTGATTGGTACAATTGGTCTAACTTTTCTGTCCGGATTTGATACCCTCCGGTACCCGAGACTACACGATATTTTCCTTCTACTTTTCATTGCAGGATATCTATTCTCAGCCATCTTCATCTGCTGGGAATATCAACGTCTAGGCCACAGTAAGTCCGCAGACCGTCTATTTTTAACTATAATCGAAACTAACAAGAAATCTCTCCATAGAAAACCGTCAACATCGCGTCCTCCGTATCTCATTCTGGATCAAGTTAATTTTCGTCATCATCGAGCTAGGTCTAGCGGTTGCCTTCGGCGTGATTAACTTCAGGGGCAACCATAACACATCTGCGATTATCGAGTGGGTTATCGCCTTCGTATTCTCCTTCTACGTCTTCTCCTTTTACATCGACTTGTATCCTGCTATCACTACGCGGAACAACCCCCACCCGATCGGGGATCCCGCGCGACGGATGGAAGAGACCTACTATGCGACGCATCCCAGCGTCCTGCCCGGAGATAGGCATACCCAGGACAGCCAGAGGACGCTGACAGAAGGTCACGGCCACCAGAACAAAGTGAGAACGGACCAGAGAGACTTTTAGGAGGTTTTACTTGTTCACAACATTTACGAATAGTTTTCCTTTCAGTAGAATATCATGCCGAGCCAGTTTGGAGGTGGTACTAGATCACGATAATGATGATACCAAGCATTAGAGGGATTAGAGGCATGACGTTTTCTCATGGCGTTCGGTTACCTTATTAGAGTAAAAACATGTTTAATTAGGCACAAGTTAAATCTTTGACGGCTCCTCATTAATTATTATTTTGAGGGTACAGTTAGACAGTTAGAACGACAATGTGTCGGTTCAGTCTAGCCATCATGACTTCGATAGATAAGATACAATAGCGGCATTTTTCATACTATAACATTATTATGTATGGTAGCGACAGACGTGTATTGTAAAATACAAATATTTTTTGTTAAAGCGTTGGTATTGACACCCTTCATTTGTGAAATATTGGGTACAAAATATATAAGTCAAACTTTAGCGGAATGAGATTCAAAATGTCAACTTTTTTCACTTATGTAGGGAAGTAAGAAAAGGGGGTATTGGCGCAGTTATACAAACATGTTTCATCAAAACCACCACCCCCTATACATAAAAAAAAACACAGAGCTCAAATCAACGCCAAGCAAGTAAACCAATAAACCAATTCCGCACAAGAAAACCAAAGTTCCTATATCCTTCCTTGCGGTTGTCATCTTACCCAATTTAACTAGCCAAAATGCTCTTAAATCCCAGGGAAATAAATCGACCGACCATCCCATCCCATCCCATCCCATCCCATAACGCACAGATAACCGCATGTTGAAAGCAGCCATAGAAACAACTCCACCTGCGCGCGCAAAATGTGTATATCGTAATAAAATAGCACACCTTGGGTAACCCCTCGCCTCACACCATCTCCACAAACTTCGAGTCCCGACTGGGACTATGACTCGCAACCGACGAGCGGAGCGGCCTAGGCGGCGTTAGCGGCGCCTTGGGCTCAGCTCGCGCCTCGTCGCGGAAATACTCGTTCTCGTCATCGCTCGAACTGCTCATCGGCATCGCCGGGCCCGCAGCCTCATCCTCCAGACTAGTAGTCCGCCCGCGCCCCGCCATCGCGACAGCACGCACGCTAACGCTACGATTATCTACGCTCGTAGAGCTATTAACACCCGTCAGTGCCGCCCCGCCGACGAAACCCCTCTCGACCGATTTGCCTTTGTCTTCCGGTTGCTGCTTCGCGCCCCGAGAAAAGCGGTTTTTGAACCATGTCTTAACGCCGCCTTTCGACGACCCTTCGCCCGGTGACACTGACTCTCGATCCACTACTCCATCTTCGACGTTTTCGGTGGCGGCGAATTCCGGTTCTAGCGGAGGCATGCTGACGGGTTGGCCCGCAGTATTCATAACTACTGTTCCACTTGCGGGGTCCGGCTCATCTTGACTTTCCCCGGACCGCTCAGTTGACCTACGTTTCTCGGTCCTCGCTAGCCGTTTCTGTTCTGCTTTGGCTGCTTTTTCTTCTTCTTTCCTCACCTTGGCTTCGTGTTTCTCCTCTGCCCTCCTCTCTTTCTGCTCTTGCTTATCTTGTTCTGGGGAGGTTGTCAGTGCATGAAATCTAGAAGATATGATATAGAACGTAGCTGACCCTTAAGTCGTTTATTGATATCCTGGATTTCCTTTTGTCGAGCTTTTTCAATCTCTTCCTCTTCTTTCTTCTTCTCCATCTCGAGACGTAACTCTATTTGCCTTGCCTGCTCTTCCTCAACCCTTTCATTGATCTCATCTAAAACGGGCTTGACCCTCGCTGTGGCGATTGCGTCGATTTCATCTTGGCTCATATACTTTCCGGCACCAATATTGACCTGTCCGTGCCTCTGACCTATGCGCTGCTCGGCCTGAGCCTGGGCTATAGCGTGTGCTTTCATTTCCCATTGTGTTGGAGTAGATGGGTGGATCATTCCCGTCTCGGCGGATATCTTCTCGTCCATCCCTTTCAAACGTTCGTGCACGTTCCTCTGAGCTGCAGCGAGTAATACTTCTTGATCATGCTGCCGTTTTTTGTCGTCGACTTGAGAAATTTTGCTGGAGAATAAAGACATCTGCTGCCTAATCTGCTGTGATCGCCTACGGTCTTCAATAACATCGCCGTCGCTCGAGGCCCTTTTCCTGAGCTTACCCCTGATTGAAAACCGTCGCGTGAGCGGCTTAGCTCCGTAATACTCCTGATATTCACGACCCTTAAAATGCTCTTCGTGCATCTTAGCTAGACGTGCTTGGGCTTGCTTGTAAGCCGCATCTTGCAGGGTAGTAAGCTGCATAGGTTGTGCATCATCGCTAACGCTGCTAAAAGCATCGGTATTCTCTTGAGGAGGGTTAGCATTATCATGTGCCTTTTTGGCATCAATCATTTTTTGCTGCTGAGTATACATCTTCTTGGCCATTGCGACAGCAGAAGCATGAAGAATATCAGCTCTCTTCTGATCGTCGACTTCAGATTTAACCGGCGGTCGCGATGTGAACATCTGCCTGTTCATATTAGTATAAGGGACAGAGCCGGCATTCTCGCTGGTTTCGCTTATAGTCGGTGACCGAATTGGCCTATGAGCTCGTGTCGCAGCACTTAGGGCATTAGCAGCAGCATTCGCCTCATCCGGATACGATTCCTTAGGAATCGGCGAGGACTTCGCCCTCTGGCGGTTTGCCATGGCACCTTTCGCAGCAAGTAGCGATCCGTGGCGCTCCAGAGGGCTCCCATGGACAGAACCGGGTACGCTCCGATCCGACTTGAAAGCCAGATTTGCGGCAGAATGGCCAGGATCGGGAGTTGTGGATTTCGCGGGCTTGGTGACGCTCATGGCAGATTGTGACGCGAACAGAGCGGCTTTGGCGCTGTGCTGGCTAGGAACGGGTTCCCAGGCGGGACTCAGCTTATAATCTTTCGCCATGAAGGCGGCAGCTGAAGCTGGAGCGGATTTGTCCGGCTTCCACAGCTCAGGTGATGTATTGGAGACCCAACCTAAAGCTGCTGCTGCACTGGCTGCGGATCCTTTTTTTGAGAGGCCAATAGACGGGAAGCTCGGAAGGTCTTGGGGTTTTGCATAAATGAGCTTTCCCGAGTGAACTAACAAAGAATCAGCTATCGCTTATAAGATTAATTAAAAATGATGGTAACATTTTTTGTAATTTGATTTTAAAGAAATATAATAAATTAAAGTCACGATGATAAATAAATAAAAAGAGAGTCTGCGACATGAAGCTTACCTGTCGGTTTGGTGTCGTCATCATGTAGCTGTCGCCCCAAGCCCCCCTGTGTCTCCGTCTCATTGGTTGTGATCATTATATATTGTGTGGCTGAGAACGACGAACGCTCAGCTGCATCTGTACGCGTACAGTCGTATTGGACCTCACCTAGATTTCTCGGCTTTCCCTCTCTTTTTTTAGAAGGATCGGCATAGGATTGCCGGGTCTGATTGGAGATAAGCTGATTGAGAGATCTGGTTGATTGGAGACGTGAGTGGAGGTGGGATGAAGGTGAGCTTAAGGTGAGAGAGAATGGAGAATGAAGAACGGAGAACGGAGAATGGAGAAAAAAAGATGAATGGAATAAGTCCTCGTAGTTATCGAAGGTGGGATGATGGATGATGTAGGTATGATGAGTCGAGAGATACAAATCAACTACCTGGGTATAGCTCGTTTACACGACGACAAAGGTAGTGTATGTGTGATGATGATGCTGGGAATCGTATGCCAGGAATATGTATAGATCCCTACCTGGGTATACAAGTATTTGATACTTGATGTCTAGCGACGAGGAACGACATATTCGGGGACATAATTGTATTAATGAAAACAAGAAATAAGATGTTAACGGCTATGAGTTCCTTTTTTGTGTAGCTTGAACCATGCCTGCATGGTTGGTTTATCATTGTCTTCATCATCGCTTGTGGCTTTGAGGATGCCAATGATGGTTATTACGTCATTGTCATACACCAGCCTCTGTTCGTATGTATTATTGAAGCTAGCGCATATGGACATAGTATTCTCATCAACATGATGTACCCCGTAAAGTTTGATTAAGTAATTCGGTTTAATACAAATACGACAGTTATCGATACGGATTCAGAGGCAATATACAGTTTAAATACTGTAGTTGCCGTTTATACAGATACAACAGGCTATTCTTCATCCGTTACTTTTGATGCAACATCCAGAGATGCCATGGGAACGTCTACCGAAAAGCTTACAGGTGCTTGAGATTTGCTATGATAAGAGCGAGGAAGCCGACAATTTGATGCGTACCGAGACTTCAAGGCCATAGACCGTGACTATCTAAATACACATGCACAAGACTCTAGTGATGGAGAAGAACAGCGTCCATCAGTGAGACTATTGCAGAGTTTCTCAAGAGCTAATGTTAGCTTCAGTGTCTTTTTATTTTCTAGATCTGTATCTGTATATTACCCTTAGCTTCGATGTCTTGTAGAAGGCAGTAGAATATTCGTATAAGAAGTATACTCTTGAGAATATGAGTTAATAGCTTTGACGAGTAGCTCTGACGATTGAGAAACCCTCGTAAAATATTAATGCACATAGATGTTTAGAACGGCATCAACTAAAACAGAACAGGGTCAAGGCGTACCTCCCTATCAACAATATAAGGCAACTCCTTATATTGTTGTACCTTATATTGTTGAGCGCACTTACAGTCAAACAACTCTATAAACTTAGCTAACAACTATATAACGTATATCGTATCCCATAAGACCAACTCGCTAAGATACCACGCAGGTCTATCCTGATTTATTCGGTGAAGTGTATATCCACCTATACGTATATCCAAGAATACCAACCTGGTCGCTTGAACCAACGACATAATGTCCATCGCTTTCGACAACATCGACAACTTCCGAGACGTCGGAAAGACCATCAACGACCATCTCGGCCGGCAGTAAGAGATATATCACAGACCAAGCCACCTCTAAATACCAGTAAAGACAAAAACAGCTAACTTTCACCTCAGGGTCGTCCGAGAAGGCGTGTTCTTCCGATCCGCGCGACCAGGTAAGAGAAAAGTGTCCCTATTTGTCTATTTGTCCATCCATCTATCCATCCATCTATCCCCATACACCAATCATCACGATCCTAACCCGCACTCTAGACAGAGCATCCCCCGAAGACCGCACGAAACTTAGAGATGAGCTGGGCATCCGAACGGTCGTGGATCTCCGTAATAAGTAAGCTGCTCCGATACTCCCCCCCTATATACTGGTACACCGTAGGTAGGTAGATACTGACCAGTTGCAACGCCGCCCAGGAATGAACAACAGAGGCACCGAGCAGGCCTAACCAAGGCCCTCGCGCCCGGGCAGATCCCCGGCTTGAAGTACCGCGAGATCAAGGTGACGGGGGAGCGGTTCCAGACGTTTCTCACGAGACAGCTTGGGTGGTGGAGTTCCTTGTAAGACCCCGTTACCTTTCCTTTCTCTTCCTTCCATCCTTCTACCAATAGACCAACATACATACCTACATACATACACACATCTATGAGAACTGATTGACTTGTCATCCTCAACAACACCCACCGTCGAATATATGTACACCCTCACTACACAACACAACTCCAGTCATAGCTACCTGACCTAGGCTAGACAACTAACAACCCACAACCTACCCGTAGCAAAACATCCATCCTCTTGTTCTTCGGCCACAACGATCGTGCTATTAGCATCCTAAGCCGGGAAGTCATCCAGCCGCGGGGTCTCGTAGGTATAGCTTTTGTAACGCTGGATCAGTCTGGCCCTGAGATCGCCGAGGTAAGTTCCATGTACTCACCACCCCCCAAAGAAAGAAACAAAAAAAAAACTAACCCTACCCCCCTCCCCCAGGCCCTCCGCACCTTCATATCCCCCTCATCCCTCCCCCTCCTAGTCCATTGCGCCCTGGGCAAAGACCGAACCGGCCTCATCGTCGCCCTGGCCTTGATGATCCTCGGCGTGCCGTCAGACGCCATCACCCACGACTACCAGCTGTCGCGCAAGGCCCTCGCAGGCGACTACGAGGTTCGACGCGTAGAGTTTCGGAAGCTTGGCCTCTCGCCAGAGTGGGGAGGCGTGGCGGATAGTTTCGCCGAGAGGATTGAATGGCACTTGGATGTGAAGTATGGCAATCTTGAGGGTTATTTGGATCGTATTGGGTTTAGGAAAGATGATCGGGAGAGGCTAGTTGACGTGTTGAGTGCGTAGGATATATTACCTATAACCTAAGTGGTTTAATAAAAGTAACATCGCCAAGTTAGACTAGAAATGCAATACAAAATCACATCTTGGCACGCATACAAGTGTTGCGAAATCATGTGTATTTCTTACGGAAGCGACCTTGCATCCAGCAGCGATACATCTTCAACCGCCGGGCTCTATTTACGAGCATCCTTCTATCAACGCCCAACTCCTCTACATCAAACAAGGGTTCCTGTACCTTCGACTCCGAAGGCTCAGTAGTCTCGCCGTCGTCCTTTGCATCATCTACAGTAGCAGACGTTCCCGTCCATATCTGAGCCAACTCGTCTTTCTCAAAGAAGTAGACCCGGGTACCATCCCCTCTAATGTAGAAGTTCTCTTCTAGGTATCGACCTTTCTTGAATCGAACCTGTGCTAGATCACCTCTGCCGTAGTCGCGGAAGCAAACCTCACCGCCTGGCTTGAGTACTCGATAGATGTTTCGCACAGCCTGCTCCCACTGCTTCGGGGACAGGGCAGAGAATATGAATATCATAAGGACAACGTCTACACTGCCTTCTTCGAGGCCGGGCGGCAGGTCCTCGCCAGCGGCATCCCATACGTCGGCTTGCATGAAGTCGGTGTTATACTCTTCATGACTACGCATCACTTCAACAGCCTTTTTAGAGAAGTCACAAGCATGCAGTTTCAGCTTGGGGTTCTTGTTATTGGCCAAGATAGGAAACGCCGTATTGCCGGCGCCGGCACCGACTTCCAGCACTGTAACCGGACCGGTATCTTGTGCAGTAACCTTGTCAAGTACGGGGAACTCTTGTTGTAACCATTTACGGTTCTTAAAGAAGTTGGCCGTGTTATTCTTATAGAACAGATTCCACCACTTAGCAGGGTCGGAATTGAATCTACCTATGATTGCGTCTGTTAGCAGCTGCATCTACTCAACATAGCAATATTGAGGTCGTAAGGGTAAGGTGTGTCAGATGGGAGCGAAAGAATTGATGTATGTGGTCATCAGAGAGATTCAGATGAACTATGCATTATAGAGTATCATCACAACACCGGAGGTGATAGAAAAGGCAGTGTACTCACTTTTGTCGAAGTCGGAGACTGGCGACTCTCGTTGCATGGCATATTGCTGCTCAGCATACTCCTTATAAGTGTCGTCAGTCTCCACATGATCCCAAGCATTGAACTCGAAGACATCATCATTTTCCTGAAGGTAGCGCGACCCAAACTGAAAAGGATCACTCCTCTTCAAGTTATTCTGCGGATCATGGTTCCTGTGGGCAGGCAGCTGGGCCTCAGCACCGTCCTGCACGGTCAACGCTTCAGCCTTGGCCAGCAGCTCCTCATCTGGCAATGCTGCCGCGGCAGTTGCGACAGCAGAAGCCATCGCGCGATATATAAAAATGCGGCGCTTGTCGACCGAGTCCTTTCACTAGTCCTCTCGTCGGTCACCGCAAAGTTGTGTTTCCTGGCATACTGGGAGCTCGTGGGGGAAAAACGAGTTGGTAAGAGATTGGGTTGGGAAGAAAAAAGATTCCAAGAAAATTTAAGCACAGAACGGAGTGGGGCTTTACTAGTAGCGCCGCTTTTCCTTATCGATAATCCACCGATGCGCGCAGTGAAATTCGACGTCACTTTTTTTGTACTTATCGCTTCTAGCTAAGAAGAGCACTAATTCTGTTGTATATTACTTTTTTCCTTGCGTCGTGATATGTATAGACCTACATTAAACAGCTAGACGGCGGTATGATTTTAAAATGCAAGATTTATAGACTTTCCGAGATTTCTACATATGAATTTACAACTCTCTTTTCGTATCTAGGTCCATAACTCATAAGCGTAACCCACCTTGAACTACCTACTCGGCCTCCCTCCCGACTCTTCCTCGCTCCCGCTCCCGAGTCTCCAATGGCAACAGCACGCCTCCTCCCACGCCCACCGCGCCTCCTCTCCACCCTACAAACACACCCGCACCCTCCCCGGCGCACCTTCATCTCCATCCCCGACCCCACCAAGCCGCAAATCCTAACCGCCTCGCGCCGTCTCCCCTACGACCACGAGCGCCTCTACGACATCATCGCCGACGTCGACTCCTACGTGCGCTTCCTACCACACTGCAAAGTCTCGCGCGTGACGCGCTGGACCGACCCAACACCTCCCTCGTCCTCGCCCTCGTCTCCCGGCAACCCACACCCACACCCCACCACCCGCCGCTGGCCCACCCAAGCCGACCTAACCGCCGGCTGGGGCGCTTTCCAAGAAACCTACACGAGCCGCCTCTTCTGCGTCCCGACCCTCGGCATCGTCGAAGCCATAAGCGGCGACGCGCGCACCGAGATCCCCGCCTCCGAGCTGCGCAGACACGGCCTGGCAGACCCCGGGCCCGACGTCGGGAGCCGGGGCGTATTCAAGAGCCTGGTAACGCGATGGACGGTCGTCCCGGCTCTCCGCGACCACCAGCGTGAGCACGGGTGGAGCGACGTCCGCCTCGCGATAAAGTACCAGTTCGCGAACCCCTTGTACACGGCTGTGAGCTCGGCTGTTGCCGATAAGGTCGCGGGGGTCATGGTGGAGGCGTTTGTGCAGCAGGCGCAGCGGGTGTTGAAGGAGACTCGGAATGATCCGGGGGTTGTGCGGTGAGGCATTGGATCTTTGCTATGTCCCGAAGCGCGCCTATTAATGCGATGTAATGATGCACCATATTCCTATCACTCACAGAAGACCGCGAATCAGTTCCCTGCTGAGCAACTCCCCCTATAAGGCCCGCTAGCCTCGACTAATTTGTCTGTATGGACACCCTATCCATGTACACCATCTTCAAATTACACGGCCAAAATCATAATAAATCTTCACATCAACTAAAGTCCTAAGAATACAATTCTCAAAATTCAATTCAAAACTTATAGTAACTCCTAATGTAAATATGTAACAGATCAGTCCGGATGTGTCTTGGTCTCCCCAATCTTTCTCAACCACGACGCCATCCGAGAATATAGCCTCTCAAAACAAATCTCAACAAGGTAAAAATGCTCGCCGTCTTGAAAGAACATCCATGTACTTGCCTTTCCTCCTCATACACTTCGTCATTCTTAGCCCGAGACATCGTCACCTCATGTGAGAAAAAAAAATATAGTCCTAGATGTAAACACGCGGTAGTAGTAAGAAATGATACAGGTCTACCGGTATCAAAGTTGTGATGAATAAATATTGGTTCTCCGTGGTAATTATTACTTCGTCCATAATACGTGCTCGAAGAAAAAAGCCCGCGGAAAATGCCGCTTTAAACAATGAAGTCGTCTCGAGCCGGGGTATAATGCAGAATCTGTTATTGGAGACCGTTCGCAGAACTCCCCAAAAATAAATTGGTGATGGGAATAAAAATTAGGACTGGTGCCTGGCGAAAAAGGCACGGGAGTAAGTGGAAATTGACAGTGGCTAGATCGAGTTGCCCAGGTATCCCCGGAGCACATGTGAATGGATTATACCTTATCGTCTAGTTTTACTACTACATATTCAGTTGTGAGTTCATGTAACAAAAAACATAATGGACGCGGCGACTGACCTCTTGCTTTTAGTGGGCTTCGCGGCTCCTCCACCTATCCACCCAAGCACGCCGCTCTGGACTTTCTTGGCTGGCTTCTTACCAGGAGGCTTGTTAACTTGGATGATATTTGGAGGCATCCCTCCACCGGGACCCCCAACTGGGCGTCCGTCGAAAGGAACCTGGCCCCTCATGCCACCCGCACCCATCATCATCGGATGAGACGGCGGAGGTGGAGGTCCACCACTGCTTACCGGGCGCTGTTGGCCTTGCGGCCTAAAACCCTGCGGCGGGAATGGGCCGCCTGCCATGTGAACCCCTGGTCTACCAGGTATAGATCTCATAGCTCCTCCCTGAGGCATGGCCGGCCGATCCATAGGCCACATATGCATCGTCACCGCCCAATCTGGCTCAATCACCTTATCCCATATCTGGGGTAGAATAATCTCGCCATTCGGACCAATAAGGTCATAATGCCCAGCTTGTACATGGGGACCAATAACATCCACATGACTGAAAGCTTGCTTGATGAGCTCTTCCATGCCCTAGAGAGTAAATTAGTATGCGGGCTTCAAGCGAAAACACAGGACCTTTGACGTACCTGCCAGCTCTGGCATATATGGAAAGGGAAGCTGAATTTTCTTCCCACGGCATCCTTGAACCGAATCGGCGCCTTGTCCTTACCAAGGCTCTTCTTATTCGCTTCTTCAGCCTTGAGCTTGGCCTCTTCTAAGAGCTTCTTCTTCAGTGCCTCCTCTTCCTTCTTCTTAGCCTCCTCGGCAGCTTTGGCTGCCTCCGCCGCTGCCTTTTCATCTTCTATCTTTTTACGAGCTTCAAGCTCAGCTTTGATTTTAGCTTCTTCTTCTATTTTTTTCTGCCTTGCCGCCTCTTCCGCCGCCGCCTTCGCTGCTGCAGCCCTGGCGTTCGCCTCGGCCTCCAACTTCAAGCGAGCTTCCAACTCCGCCTTTGCTTTAGCCTCTTCCTCGAATTTCTTTCTCTGAGCGGCCTCTTCCGCTGCCTTTGCAGCGGCAGCGGCCCTGGCCGCCTCTTCAGCTTCTATCTTTTTGCGGGCTTCTAACTCAGCTTTTGCCTTGGCCTCTTCCTCAAATTTCTTTCTTTGTGCAGCCTCCTCAGCAGCTCTAGCCGCCGCCGCCGCTCTCGCATCCGCTTCAGCCCTAATAGCGGCCTGTAGCTTAGCCTGAAGAGCAGCCTCTGCCAGGGCGGCAGCCTCCGCCTCTTTCCTCTTCCTTTCTGCTTCGGCCTTCTGTTCCGCTTCGAGTTTGTCGCGGGCACTTCGCTCAGCTCTTTCGAGAGCTTCTGCTTCCTTGCGGGCACGCTCCGCCTCGGCTTTCTCGGCTGCCCTTTTTGCATCTTCAATGTCTTTGGTTAACTTCTCCATAGCAATCTTTCTTTCCTCGGCACGGATCTCTTCGTCCCTCTTGATCTGCTCCATTTTGCGTTGGAATGCCAGCTCTGCCTCCAGCCTAATTTGAGCCTCGAGCTCCTTTTGCTTGGCTTCTTGTTCTTTCCGCTTTTGCTCGGCTTCAATCTCAGCTAATTTCTTTTTCATGGCTTCCTTTTCGGGGTCCTCCTTCGGGGGCTCCGGAGCTGGAGCTGGAGCTGGGGCAGGTGTTCGAGACCGGCCACCAATGTCCGTCGGAGGAGGCGGAGGAGGGGACCACTGATATTGTGCCATGCCGTGTGGCATGGGATACGGCGGCTGACCACCAAAGTAATTCTGACCGCCACCTCCGCCAAATGGCATCATTTCGTTACCACCAGGCCACCTATGCTCGTTATTAAAATAATTACCAGCATTTCCGTTCATCGGGGCGAAAGGATTTTGGTAAGGGTTAGGTGGTCCGTATGGCACCATCTGCCCACTTCCACCATAAGGGGGAGCATAGCCGCCAACGTGGCTTTGGGGATAACCGCCACGGCCGCCGGCATAATACTGGTTCCCTCCGGCCGGCGGTGGGTAGGCACCCCGGCCGTAGTAATCGTAATCTGAATCCAGACTGGTGGATGGGTTCGGCGCCTGCCGATAAGTATCGTAATCGTAATGGGAGGGTACTCTATGGGCAACACTCCTGTGCTGCTGTCCAGACGGTGTGCGAGACGGGGCACGGGATGGAGCGCGATGTGGACGAGCTTCTTGGTGATGGCGCCTTGAGGGACTAGTAGAAGCTGAATCTTCTGGATCAATATCGTCGTCGTCAAACTCTTCTTCCTCTTCACTCTCGTAAGAGTCCTCGTCCGAAACCTCTCGTCCGTGACTGTATGATCCTCCACTAGGTCTTGAATCCTCCTCTTCTGAGTAACTGACTTCGTCCGAGATGGGACCGCTGTGGCGTGGAGTGCGTGTGGTAGTGTATCTTCGACTTAAATGAGGAGGTCAATGGCGAGTTGAATGAGTAATAGACTATCGCTACTTACGACATTGGTGATAATTTAACGTCTAGATACCCCTTCCCCTCGACGATCTACCTAAGAAAGTCGGAGCAAAGGGAGGTTAGCGATTAGGCGGTAGCCGAAGTTGCCAACCTCACTGAGCGAGTTTGAATTGATTTATAGTTCAGCTCTCTGAACTGGGCGTTGTTGTTGGTATGTGGAATTCCGAATCACAATAGGAATAATGTTGCGAAATAACCCAAGTTTCTAGCAACAGTGTTAGCAATTTTGATCCACCGTTCTCCTGTGGCTTTTTTTTCTCTCTCTCTTTTGAAGATGAATGCTGGTCGCACAGTGAAGGTGAATGCAGATAGGGCGTGGTGTACTATCGTGCGGAACAATCCGAGGATGAATCTAAATGAGGAATTTGGATGGCTTTTTGTAGACAAGTCTCTCGTGACAGGTGAGCGGTACAATTGTCAAAAATGTATCTGGGGGATCCCGGTCTTCCAATGAGACTGGCTCAGTTGGGCGCAAAGGGATATCGAATTGGGTTTCTGTTGGCAAAAGGTGTGGAATTGCAAGTGGCGCCAAATTCAAGCGGGGTGAATGGTGAATTGTAATGTGAATTGGTCTCGGCTCAGAGAGGTATGCAATAAAACAGTTTAAAGCAGTTCAACTTCGCCCTTGGGTGAAACAGGTATGCGCATAAGTTCATAGGCTATACCTGTAAGGTAGGAAGGCACGGTAATGAATATGGAATGTGCGAGAGGTGCGAAAGGTGCGAGACACACTTACCCTAGTTAGGAACTCCGGCTATCGGTTGCTGTTGCTGTTGCTGTTGCTGTTGCTGTTGCTGTTGCTGTTGCTGTTGCTGTTGCTGTTGCTGTTGCTGTTGCTGTTGCTGTTGCTGTTGCTATTGCTATCGGTCGGTGATCGGTACCCGTTTGGAATTGGAAAGTACAACTTTAAATCGTGAATGCGACGAATAAGACTTTGATGTTACCGGCGTAAACACAGAGAGACGTGTTATATCGTCTCGGCCTCAAGGGCTAAAACGAAAGTCTGCGGTCAGCACTTTCGATATTCGAGCGTGCAGATCGAAGTATGACCGACCGCACTTTTTGTATTTATTGTGCGTTAGGAAGGATGAGAGAGCAGGGAACGGGGAGGATGCCCGGAACTTATAATACTTAGTGGCACTAATACTAGAACCCACGATCCCATCGTCAGCGAGGGGCCAAGCGAGTAGAGGGAGATAATGGATAATGGATAATGGATAATGGGGGACGGGGACGGCAGGACGGGGGACAGGCAGGTGACACAGCCCAGATAGAGAGGGGCCAAAAACTAATACCATACTACATTTGCATTCACCTACACACACAGACGCACTATACATACCTACACATAAACAACGTACCCGTACTACGGCGCACATGTAGGCCTTAATGCTCTAGAATCTTCATCCCAGGCGTAGGTATTGTAGATCCCTCCTTCACAGGGGGTTATCAGCACTAGCTTAGCCTAGGACATGGACATGGACATGGACATGGACATGCTACCTAGGTATGTACTATGTAGGTGTTGAGAGTTGAAAGTTGAAAGATGAAAGTCGAAAGTTGAAAAATGAAAGACGGCTACCCAGATGAGAGCTGGTGCCATGCGTATATCCCGAGGAATGCAAAATAATTAACGTACATTAGCTTTTTGCGTTAGAGTTGAGTTGCAGTATGCTCCGGTGAGGGTCGAGTTTCTCTCTTGTTTCGGTTTTCTCGTCTTCGTGTGAGGGACCCGGTGTTGTCCCCGTATGTGTATGTATGTGTATGTATGTATATATGTATGTATATATGTATGTATGTATACCTAAGATAGTATCATGTGGCAGTATGTAAAAGAGAAAATATGGGTAGAAAATGGAAAGGAATGATGGCGGTATCTTAAACTTGTCAATATTCCGGAGCCAATTTGGATCTGGTAGCATTCAAGTAGGTCCCGGTGATTGTTTATTGTTATGAAGTCGTACTGTGTACAAATAGTCTAGGAGAAATAAGGGCGAATGATTATGTAGAGGGCAAGAGAGGGGCCAAGCAACGTAGGCTGAGAGCAGAAAGAAACACCTACAGGCACAGCACGCAGCAGAAACAGCAGAAACAGCAGAGAGTCTGGCCCACACCGCTTGCGCTTTGCTGGGGCCGATGCACACTCCGCAGACCACCAATGATCGAGATCCTTGGACTTACACCGAACACGACAGCATTATCATAACTGGTGCCCTTCATTTTGCAAATTCGTCGTCTGTTGTATGGTCTCTGTCCGGATTCTTAATATCTGCCCGTCGGGCTATTCACCCTTATATTTGCTTTGCAGTATACGGTAGTCAGTCTTCATATCCGGTTGACCGGGGCTCTGCCGAAGCCATTTGCTCCGGACGTTGCCATGATAGGTAGCTGGACATTGTATTGTTCCCGTTCCTAAGAATTAAGGTCGACAAACTGATTGCTGTCTTGTTGGTACTTTACACTGACAGGCAACACATGTCCGACTGAAACCTCTGAGATTGAATCGCAAGCCATTGGTCACCGGGGAGAATTATGAAAAGTTTAAGACGCCAATTCCGGAGGTCGAGCAAGACTAGCGTTTTCCTGTAAGATAGAGATGGCGAGTGGAGGTATGTCTTCCTGTGTCGTCTTGAAACAGATTTCAGATTTCAGATCTCAAGCTGAGAACTCGGGCGGTGGCTGTTCGCCTCTACTAATAAGACCTTTCGCTCACCCATAGGTCTTGACGGATTTGGTATCATCTAGTCTCCAGAAGCCATAATACGTGGTGTCGTAAGCGGCCTGTTATTAGTAGATACATGGCTAGATTTGGAAGTATGGAGTCGAAGCATTGTTTGCTGCTCTAACCTCCGCGTAGATCGATGTGCAAATTACCAGCCTGCTCAAGACATATTCATCACCTACCTTGCTGAGAGGGCCAATCCCGAACGAGGGGCGTTAGGAATGGCAACCTTACCGCATCCAATTCGGAAGTGGAGGATGGATGCAGAGACTTGTCTGCGGCTGGACCCGTCTTAGATGTCTCTGGCTGTGGAACTCCGATTAGCTTATGGCTAGACGCTGCCCGACGATGTGGCGGGTTTGCTGCCCAAATATCATAATATGGTACCTATATGGTTACAGTGCATCCAGACATATATACATGCCAAATAGTAAGGCACTAAGAATGCGAGCCACTTGATAAATTCTCAGTCATTCGATTGCAACGCCGCCTTTCTGATTCACAACGACCAAGACTGCGCGACTGGAGCCACGTGCTACTCGTACTGTAGGAACAAACGTCCGGCAGGGTACTTGTTGGCCAAATCGGCATTACCCAGTATTACCCAGACTAGTGGACACGTCTGCCTGCCCAAGTCCCACCGCTCCAGATACGAAATCCGCCTGGGGCACCAATTAACAACTCTCCCCTTTCTGCGCATGCTAAATGGACCTTCTCCCTATTCGTTACCCAACGACTTGCAACTCCTGCAAGAAACTCGGCCACGCGAATGAGGCTAAGGCGAGCGTCGCGGAAGAACGACTCGAATCCCTAACCTAGTGTAATGTTTACAACATGACAGTAGCTTCTCACCTAATGACTACAGCTGTGTCATTCTCAAGAAGCTCTTTGGCTGCCTTGACTTCAGCCTCATCGTAACCCTGCCAACCTTTTTCGCCTGATGAACTGCGTCGGACTATCTCTGCGAGTTTCTCGGTGGCCACTTCATCAAGTTTGCTAAGTGTAACCGAATCGGGTATAGCAAACCCGTCGGAAGTTGTCCGGCTTTGTGATACCTTAGATGGGTCACCCAGAAGAAGCTGTTTCGTAGTCTTTTTACTCAAGTTAGTAGATTTCCTGTTCGAAAACGAACAAAGGGATTTATACCAGTTTAAGACCATAGTAACCTCGTAAATAGCCATCGCAGAGCTCAATGCTTCTGCTGAAGCGTTTTATAGCCTCGCCTAATTGACTTGCGTTATCTGACGATTTTGCAGCAATGAACAATACTTCGCCGAGACGAGCGTGTACCTAGCACAGCTAAAGTTAGCACGGATGAAATTAATATAGTGAAATAAGAAAACTAACATTCCAAGCATTTGGTTGTAGGACAAGAACCTCTTCAAGCGCAAAGATAGCTTGAGAGTATAGTCCTTGTGAAAAATAGAGATCAGCAAGCTCAGCCCACGCCTCTGCGTCGGTAGGAGAGATATCGAGAAGCGATATCAGAACACTGACAGACTCGGAGGTCCGTCCAACAGACCGCAACAAGGCTACACGGCGCTTTAAAATAGGCTGTACAGACTGTATTAGTATTCGGTATAAGGAGTCACGGGGAAGAAAGCTCACGATATTAGTTGGGTTGTCCTGTAAGATCTGTTCATATTCTTTCAGGATAACATTTAAAGTAGCGGAATCGCTGGCATCAGCTTCTTTAAGGAGGCCTTTCAAGGCCATGATACGTTCGTTGTCATTGCCAAACCTATTCACTAGTCTTGCGAGGCAATGATGGGCTGACTCGTCGTCTCCAGTCCGAAGGCATGATAATAAGAGATTTTCATAGGTAGTCCATAATTCGGATGTTTCGGGGGCTGAGAGTAGAGATTGGAAAAGAGAGGTTGAGATGGCACCTGTAGACTTCCCAAGTATAGCCGGAGCTTGCTGTGAATGCCGCAAGGCTACAGCAGGGGACAAGTGGCTAGGCGGATGAAGAAGGGAAGAAGACATGTTGACTTGAGAACGTATTTGATCGTAATTTACACTCTGATGTTGCTGTTATCAAATATCTAGAGTAGTTCAAGTGAGATGGTGGATATTAAAGATACGGTTAGAAGGAAACTAAGGTTCGTGATAATTTAAGTTAGTTAGTACGAAGTAATACTTAGAGGTAGTTTATTTTAGTTACATAAAGCCCCGTACCTACCGATCCTTATGAGGTCCTTACGTACATATTGTGGTGCACGGGCCGGAAGTCATGTTCTGCCGTATTAAACACCCCACCGCCTCCAGGTCTAGCAAGTGCTAAGGTTAGGTTAGGTACCTAGGTAGGTATGTACTAAGGTACTTAGCCTTAGCTTATGGAAATGGTCCGCTGACGTGCGTGCTCCCCCAAGCCGTGGGGCATATTCATTGATACTTGCACCATCAACATTATCTAAATCTACCTACCTAGGTATATTGCGAAATACCTACTACCTACCTATGTAGTATGTAGTAGCTATTCACCAACACAACCCCCTAGATGAACAGGTCTCCTACGACGCCTATATATCGCCAAGCTATCGTCGCGCTGTCAAGATGATGAGTGGACCGAGGCGCACTCTGAGCTCGCAGCCTTTAACTCATAGTTGATCACCGTTCCGAAATAAACAACGACCATGTATGCAGTCCACCTTATACTATCATACTATCATGATTTCGTGCGAATTAGAGTCCGTTGACAATCTCATCGTAGGTTCGAAAAATCCTTGTACGACCTCATCCGAGGTCTGAGGAATCATAAGGGGAACGAGAAGGAGTACATACAAAACTGCCTGAAAGAATGCCGCTCCGAAATTCGAAGCCAGGACTTAGGTTAGCTGCCCTCCCATTATAAATACACTAGGCTCATAGCTGACTTCATGCCTTTTTGTTATAGATCTCAAGGCTACTGCCTTGCTGAAGCTAGTTTACCTAGAAATGTTCGGGCACGATATGTCATGGGCGTCTTTCAATGTACTCGAGGTGATGGCTTCTCCTAAATACCACCAAAAACGAGTGGGATATCTTGGCGCAATTCAGAGCTTCCGTCCTGATACCGAGGTCCTCATGCTGGCAACAAATCTCCTCAAGAAGGTATGAGGTTAGGTCTTGCGATAGGCTTCCAGAGACGCAACGAAACGAATATGCTGAACTTGTCTTCCAGGATTTGACGGCGGCATCAGCCACTACCATCGCCCTTCCGATTGTCACTCTTCCGCATGTTATCACGCCATCGCTCGCCCTCTCCGTTTTATCTGATCTCCTGCCTCGACTTAGCCACACCCACCCAGCGATTCGCAAGAAGACGATTGTCACGCTATACAGGCTTGCCTTAGTTTATCCAGAAACTCTACGAGCTGCCTGGCCGAAGATAAAGGAGAGACTTATGGATAGGACTGAAGACCCCAGCGTAACGGCTGCAATTATTAATGTCATATGCGAACTGGGATGGCGGCGGCCCCATGATTTCCTTCCTCTAGCACCCCGGCTGTTTGAGCTATTGGTCGATAGCGGTAACAACTGGATGGCAATAAAGCTGATCAAGCTGGTAGGCAGTATAACGTCTCGGTCACACCTGGATCTGAGCTAACCTTTAACTAGTTTGCTACGTTAACACCCCTTGAGCCGAGACTTGTTCGCAAATTGTTACCGCCTCTGACAGAGATCATCCAGACAACCCCTGCCATGTCTTTATTGTACGAATGTATAAGCGGAATTATCCAAGGGGGAATTCTTGGAAGTGGTGAAGATACGGACGGGAGAGAGGAGATCGCATCTCTTTGCGTTAATAAGCTTCGAGGGATGATTATGGTAGATGGTGACCCAAATTGTGAGCTTGCCCCTCGACCCCTATGACTTCGTTTACTGATTTCGGGGATATAGTGAAATATGTGGCGCTGCTCGCTTTCAACCAAATCGTTTTGACCCATCCTTGGCTTGTAGCTCAGCAAGAAGACGTCATTCTAGAGTGTATAGACAGTGCCGACATTTCTATCCGTATCAAAGCGCTCGACCTTGTGCAAGGCATGGTTAGCGGTGACAATCTCTTGTCTATTGTCGGCCGTCTCATGAGACAACTCAAGCTGTCTTCAGGAGATCGCAGGACTACAAATCATTCGGGGCCAAGCTCCGGGGATTCAGATGACGAAGACTTTGAGAGGACAATTGATTCCGCTCCAAAATCGGCGAACGGATCCCCACCGCTTCCGGATGACTACAGAGTCGATGTGATGAATAGAATACTAAATATGTGTTCTCAAAATAATTACGGCTTCTTAACAGATTTCGAGTGGTATATTGATATACTAACGCAGCTTGTTCGGACTGCTCCGCTACCACGACCTGTCGACGATATAGACTTACTTTCTGCACCTGGGAGGTCGAGCAGCGGTGATATATCTGAGAAAATAGGGAACGAATTGCGGAATATTGCCGTCAAGGTCCAGGCGCTTCGTCCCGCGTGCGTTCGCGCTGCCGAGGCGATTATATCTCAACTGAATGGCGAGACTAGAATTGCGCGCTCGATTGCTTCGGGAATATTAAAGCCAGCTGCTTGGATTCTCGGTGAATTTTGTTCAGAATTACCTTCCCCAGACGATATTCTTGGAGCTCTGTTGCAACTATCCCAAAAGACTTCACCACCCGAGTCTCTCGCAGCCTGCCTTCAAGCGGCCATGAAGATTTTCTCGTTGGTTGCCGGAGACCAATTAACACCTTGGACACCTGAGCGTAAATCCAAGATCTTGCTCCTGATGGCTCGCATTATTCATTCCTTCGAGGCTTTAGTACAACATCCAAACCTAGAGGTTCAAGAACGAGCAGTAGAATTCATAGAACTGCTAAAACTTACTGCGGAAGCGGCATCTAGTCAGCAAGCTTCGACAGAAACCGTCCACCAAGATCCTCCTCTGCTACTCACGCAAGCAATACCCTCTCTTTTTGCTGGTTGGGAATTAAATTCGGTTGCTCAAACAGCACAGAAGAATGTCCCACTCCCAGGAGGGTTAGACCTTGACGAACCTATAAATCCAAACCTCAACCTCCTACTCACATCCGCTGATTCGATATCAATACCAGTCGACGAGTCAGATGAGTTTGGGAGTTATTATTATCAACGACCATCCGCGACAAGTATAGCCTCCGAGCCAGCCATCAATAAGCTGGCAGATGCTCGCGAGGATATTGCTAGCTCTTACCAGCAGCCTACCGAGGAGACATATCTGGATGCAGATATATTAGCCAAAAGAAAGGCTGAGCGTCTGGAAAGGAATCGAGATGATCCATTCTATATCGGGGAAAGCAATTCTATTCAGAGATCATCAACGCCGATACATAATATCCTCCAAAATTCGAATGGTCCTGACTTGGACGTCGACTCGATCCCCATCATGGAACTCGACCTCGATAAACTTAGCGCAGGCGTCGATCATTCTCGCCACGTGGCGTCTAAACCAGCCCGCCGTCCGCCGCGGCAGAAGATCGTTGTTGCCGCAGACGAAAACCTGGGTGGCAGCGGCTTAAGCACGCCAAAGAACTACGACTCCGAAAACAATTCGGACACCGCCGCCAAGGTCCGAGCCGGCAGCAAGAAGCTCAAGCAATCGCTTCTCGGTGTCGACTCTACCAGTATCGGCGCGCTCAGCCTCGAGGATGACCCGGCCGGTCGCGTATACGACCCCGAGGCCCAACAGCGCGAGGAAGCCGAGATGGCGCAGGCCATGAAGGAAGTCGAGCGTCTGCGCCTCGAGATGCAGCGCGCAAATGAGCGCATACAAGTCGCCCAGGGCGTCGATGCCGCCGGTACCGTCGTCAAGAAGAAGAAGGCCAAGAAGCCGAAGACGACGGATCCCGACGGCGAAGGGGATACCGCGGTCAAGGTCAAGAAGAAAAAGAAGAAGGTCGCACCTATAGATGAGGGCGATGCTGCTGGAGACGTGGTCAAGGCTAAACCGAAGAAGAAAAAGGCGAAGCCGGCTGAGATCCAGGACGCGGGTGCGGCGTGAAGATGGGAGGGGAGTGTAATGCATAAATAAATATCTACATAAATAGCGGTAGTATAATTAGTAAATTAGACATTCGTACTGGCTACCTAGTATATAGACGAAATATCATCATGAGCATTGCTACAACGGAGTCTAGACACTTTACACTTTTTTTAAAATATATATATTCTTAAGGCCATCCATCCATCCATCACTTATTCTAATCTCATCCTTCACTTTACCTCCTTCCTACCATCTATAACCAAATGTCGCGCATAACAGGTATAAAAAAGCGAATATAAAACCAAATATAACCCAGTTGATACGAATAGAAATAGATATATATATAAATATAACCAAGTAATCATCTTAAGATTCAATTCAATTCAATTCAACTACGTAGGTATGTCATGATCAACGTACAAAACGTATGAGAACAAGCCAACACGCCCCTTTACTTGCTTGCTTGCCTGCTTTGCCTACCCACCCTCCAAAATTTTTGTAAACGCGCTCTAGTCGTAGTAGTATGTAATGTAGTAGTAGTCGGGGAAAAGACAAGACAAAAGAAAATAACGGGGAGAAGGGAGGGTTGGGGGGGGGGGACGAGGATACGCCTAGGCTGGGCTGATGTGTAGAATAGACGAATTAAACTATCCATCCTATCTTAGTCGAGCCTTGGGATCTTTTCGTCGTAGGAGTGGGCGGGTGTATGTGTGTGTGTGTGTGTGTAATACGTAGTACAACACTAAATAGCAGCAACGAGAACAACGACAACAACGACAATCTTGTACATGCGTATAGGGACATTTTACATTATACGTAGGCTAAGCGGCTCCGCCGATAAGTCCTTCCATCAAGTTTCCCCTTTTCCCCTATACGAGGGAATGGCCCCCTTTTCTTATACTGGAAAAATAGACGCCGATCAGCCAGATGCGTGTCAAGATATCACCTTACGGTCTCCGGTACCGGTTCACATGACCCTAGGTATGTAGACAGCTCACACGTTACTAATCGTCCATCGGTGCGTCGACGAGTTGCACACCGCGGTCGTGGATCGGAGTTCCGCTATCTGTCGCCTTGCTAACAGGAGTGGAAGGTGTGCTCCCAGTTCCTGTCGTCGAAGAGGTCGTGACTCTACGGCCGCCAACGAATCTAGCGCTGCTTCGGTTC